CACTCACCACCCACCAAACCACCCCAACCCAACCCGAAGGCTCGAATTCACCATCGATTTCCAGTGTGGGGGGGGGGTCGGGACACATCGAAAAAACACATGTGGAACCCTTACCCCCCCCAACCCGAAATTTGGGTCTTCGGGTTGGGTTGGGGTCGTCTGGTAGCTAGTCAACCACGTATATTGCAGTACGTCGATTGCGCCACATAGATTGTCTCACATATATTGCAATACGTAAGTTGTACTGCACACACCACACACATATACACATATATGTATGTGTGTAACTGTTTATATTGCACCTCGTAGGTGGTACCACATCTATTCATATATATATAACATCACCTAAGGCGTATATTGCACAATATCGATGGCACATCGTATATTGCACCACATCAGTTGCATCACGTAGATCGTTCCACATGTATTGCTCTGCGTAATTTACACCATATCGTAATTTACACCATATAAATGTCACCCGCAGGTTTGAGCACATGAGTATATGGGTGTGTGTATACATATATATGTATGTTGCTCCACGCCGACTCCAGTAACTTTACGGCATTACAGAATTTGCACAACTTTGGTTGTCAGAGACGCTGCCCACAACACACATGTGTGTGTATATATATATATATATATATATATTCAGGTGTAAACACATCTACTATGATGGACCCCCTCCTCCTCCCTTTTCCCCGCTCATCCTCTTGCCCCTGTTGCGCAGGCGGCGCCTCCTGCACAAGCCGTCGGCGTCGGAGTTGCGGCCCACGGAGGCCGTCCGTGCCGTGGCCTCGTCGCCGTCGGCGCCCTGGCCGCATCTCGTCGTCCCCGCAGGGGCCCTGCACTGCACACCCTGCCTTGTTCGGTGCAGGGTCTCCGAGTCTCCGCCCTCGACCTGCGTGGCTGGAAGGCGCCGGCCTTGTCCGCCCGAGGTGCCCGATCCAATCCGCATCGTCCTCTTTCTCCTGTTTTCCTCCGTTGCCGTTCCTGTTCTCATCGCCCTCGCGTTCTGTCTCTTTCTCCACCTCCGGGTCTTTTCTCGGCCTCCTCCCCATCTCTCCCCGCCGTGGTCTCCCCTCCAGTGTCCTTCCCCGTATGGTTCTCGGCATCCTTGCCCTTGTCATTGTCATGCTCTTCCTTCTCCTCCACCTCACCTTTGTCCTTCTCCTTTTTCATTTCGTCCGACCTCCCTTGTTCTTTGTACCTCCTCTTCTTTTCGCCTGTCCGACTCCCTCCTCCATCCATCTCTTCCCTCTTCCCTTCATCGCTGCCTCGTCCGCCGTCCTGGATCCCTGGACATCCCTAGGAGCGCAGTTCTGGCAAGAATTTCGAGGCGGATCCAGCTCGGGTGACGAGGGCGCCGCAGGAGGTTCACAGGGGGCGAAGTACGTCCACAAAATCCGACGGACGCTTTCTACTGTTACTCAAGAGGCTTTAACCACTCCGCCGACGCCCCCGTTCCTCCTCCTCCTCTTCTTCTTCTTCTTCTTCTTCTTACGTCTTTATCCTCCTCCTCCTCCTCCCCCTCCTCCCCCTCCTCGTCCTCCACCTCCTCCTCCTCCCTCGTCTCGCTCCTCGCGCGTCCTCCTCCTCCTCTTCTTCTTCTTCTTCTTTTTTCTCTTCTTTTTCCTCCTCCTCCTCCCCCTCCTCCCCCTCATCGTCCTCCACCTCCTCCTCCTCCTCCTCCTCGTCCTCCTCCTACTCCTCGTTCTCCTCCGCCGTCAGGCCGAGGCAATTTTCAAATGCTTCGCCACCGCAGATGAGCGGTGCAGCCTGGGCTCCGTGTGGCACCGCCTGAATGCGGTGTGGGTCCGATGATGTCAGCTTCCTCATCCCGCCCGCTCGCGGGTGCGATAAGGAACGGGCGGAGGGCGGCACTTCCCTCTGGGAGGTTCGTGGTCGTTCGTTGTCGTCCTTCGTGTCTCGCTTCGTCCTCGTGTCCGTCGCCTCTTCCGTCTTTGGGAGTTGCGGCACGGTCCTGTATTGAGTTCCGGGGTGGACATTGTTGGTGCTCCTGGGCTGGAGAGTGCCCCCCCCTATCCTTCCCTGCTGCCGCCGCTGTCGCCGTTGCAGCCGTCAGGCCAGGGCTTTTAGTGCCCTGCCACTTCGGCCAAGAGGTGCAGCCTGGGCGCGGGGAAACCCCAGTGGTACCTCCTGATCTGAGATGAACCGTCGTTGACGATCACGGAGGCGGGGCCCGCGGCTTCCTGCCTGTAACCTCTTGGTTGCAATGCTCTTTGCCGAAGGCATACTGTTGCCGTGCTTTGGGGGCGCGGGCGCTGGGCAACGCCCCGCGTATTTCCCCTGGGGCGCTGATCCCGAACCCCCTTGCGCCAGTTTGGCGCGGGGTGTAGGGCGGTCTTTAGTTTGCTGTTCTTTTTTCTTGATTTCCTCCCTAAGGCGCAGCGTTTCTGGCGCGATTGGGAGTTAGTCAGAGATGGGAAGCCGGAGGTCAGGTCCCAGCTTGCGTCCGTGATTTCCCCGTTTTGCACGTGTGCCCTTGGCGTTGGCCGTTGGCCACGTTGGCCGTTGGCTAGGGCACGTTGGCCCGCGCTTCGTTGAGTGCCGCAGTTTTGTTCTGCCTTTGGGCCTCCCAACATCCTCCTCCTCCTCCTCCTCCCCCTCCTCCTCCTCCTCCTCCTCCTCCTCCTCCTCCTCCTCCTCCTCCTCCCCTTCCCCTCCGGGCGAGGCGCGCGCCTCCGTGGGCCTCGGCTCTTGTCTCGCTGCCGCGGGCGCCGTGGGGGCAATTGCGGGGAGCGCCGCTGGCGTGGCGGCTGCAGCAATTTACGTGGCACCACCTGCCGCCCGTGCCGCCCCAGCCGCCTGGGTCGCTGCAGGGCGGAATTCAGTTTTCGACGCCACTTCTGGGATCCCCCTCGCTGCAATGCCAGCCAGGCGACGCCGCGCAACGCCACGCAACGCCACGCAGTGCCACGCAGTAGCGCCAAGGCGTGCCACGCCGTGCCAAGCAGTGCCACGCAGTGCCAAAAGCAGTGCCAAGCATAGTGCAGCGCCGGGGCCACTCAGTGCCGAGCAGTGCTCTGCATTTTGATGGCTTTCTGCGCTGCTCCCAGCCGCCTTGGAGGAGGGGGGGGAGGAGGAGGAGGAGGAGGAAGAGGAGGAGTAGGAGGAGGAGAAGGAGTAGGAGGAGGAGGAAGAGGAGGAGGAGGAATACCAGGAGGGTAGGAGGTGGAGGAGGGAGGAGGAGGAGAGGAGATGGGAGGAGGAGAGAGAGAGGAGGAGGAGGAGGAGGAGGAGGAGGAGGACGAGTAGGACGAGGAGGAGGTGCTTTGGGAAACATGAGGTCCCCGGGGCCGCTCCGAGGGCGCATTCTTCGTTTGCCGCCCGCGGGTACGGCCCGCAGCGCTGCCGCGCTCTCGGCGAGGGGCGCGCCCGCGCGGGGCGACCCGAGGCGCCCGTGCGTTTTCGCCTGTCCCGGCTTTGGGTTGGGTCGGGCACGGGCTTGCGGAGCTGACAGAGTCGAGCGCGGAGGGGGGGGGGGGGAATTTGACCCTCGGCGTGGCCATCTTGGGTCAAGCGCGCGACGCGTGCCCCCCCGGGGTGGGGGAAGGGTGGGAGGGCTGCGTAACAAGGCGAGCGCGCTCGCGGAGATGGCTCAGGGGGCGCGCCTCGTGGGGGGTTCCCCCTTCCACCCTCTAGCGGTCGTGCTCTGTCGGCGGGGGTGCAAGATCGGGGGGGGATAGGCATAGGGTTAAGCCGGGCGTGTACCTCCACAGGAAGAATATTCAAACATAGTCCAAACATAGTCCGTCCACGATTTTGCTGGGCCATGTTTGACCTTCTCGGGGGTGTGTTTTGATTTTTTGTTTTTTTTTGTTTTTTTTTGTTTTGATTTTTCGCCCAACATCCGCCTGTAGGAGGACATGCCCGACCTAAGCATATGGGAGGATGCCTCGACCCCCGAGCGCCCATTGATCGTCGATAGGGGCCAGATAGCCCCAACCTGCCCAGGAAGGTGCGGATGCACTATCGCAGGCCCATCGCCGATCTATCGACGATGCATCGCCGGTTCCAGGTCGATGCATCCCCCCTGTGCCAGTTCCCCCTGATCGTTGCCCCTCATTGTCAGGGGGGAGGCGGCCGCGCCGGGCCCAGGCGTTCCCTGCGCCCCTCGCGAGGAGGAGGAGGAGGATGAGGAGGAGGAGGAGGAGGAGGAGGAACGAGGAACGAGGAGCGAGGAGCGAGGAGCGAGGAGGAGGAGGAGGAGGAGGAGGAGGAGGAGGAGGAGGAGGAGGAGGAGGAGGAGGAGGAGGGAGGAGGAGGAGGAGGTGACGTTTCGGACGTTCGTGCCCTGCCGATTGCTTCGGAAGGGAGAGAAGTCTCCCCCCCTCCTTTTCCTTTTCAAGTTGTCGCCATGCTATCCTGGCTCTTCTCAGAGTCAAGGGTGGAAAAACCACACAGGCCCCGACAATCTGCGTTTATTACACGGCCCTGGGCGTTTACTGAACAGCCCTGCCATGTTCGATTCCACCCATGGGTGCGATTATTAAGCGGTTTTGCTTGTCGGGGTGCTCATGTTATCGGGTTGGGTTTGCCACTTCTACAGACGCCGCGCAGTCTCTGTCGACCTCACGCGTACCTCCTGGCCGCCAAGTTCCGCATAGTTGTCTTCCTCCTGCTCGTCGTCGTTATCGTCGTCGTCGTCGCCGCCGCCGCCGCCGCCGCCGCCGCCCTCCGTCTTCCTGCCTCTCTTCTTGGTCCAGGCATGCTGGTCCATGGACATCGCCGATGCCCAGCTGCGACCAGGCGCGCCATGTACCACCCGCGCACGCGCGCGAGGGACGTGGACGGAGAGAATGAACTTTACCGAGGTCCTCGTCTTCGGCTTTTGGAGGTTTCCGATCTGTTTGAGTCGATTGCTTTCGAGGGCTTTTGGAGACTTCGTGGGGTCAGATGATTCCAGTTGGCTTCCCGGTGTTGGCGGGAGTTTTTCAAGTTCCTAGACGTAATGGCTAGGCCCTGGCTATCCTCCTGCCTGTCCAAATCCTCCGTTTTTTCTCCTCTCCGCGTTTTCCTCTGTCTCCACATCCTCCTCGACTCCTGACAGCGGGCAGGAGGGGGCTGAATGGAGAGGCAGTCACGGAGAGAGGGATGAGGACGGAGGAGTGTGCAGGAATTGCAAGGGCGGCCGACGACGCGAAGGCGGAGGGGCGCCGTAGGGAGGGCCCCCCTTTTTCCTTCTCTGCGTGGAGGCGTGGCTTCCTCCACACCTCTTCCGCCCGACGGACCACGCAGCCCCATTGCCCGGAGCTGGGTCCAGCTCGAGAGCGAGGGGGACTGGAAGGCAGACCGACTGTGGGATCGACTACAGAATCGGTTTGCCCGAAAATTGATCTTCACGTCGACGCTTCAACACAAATACGTCAGCCGTTCGTGGATCGTCGAAGGTTCTACGAACTGCCCGTGGATTCGACGACAAATCAACTCTGGTGCAAATCAATTCTGTAGTCGATCCCCTGCAGTCGGGGCCCTGAAGAAGGAGCCCTTTTTGTTGGGGAGGGGCTCTGTGTTCCGTAGTTGCTTCACAGTGCTCCTCGGGTCTTCCTGAGGCTTTCCACGGAACATCGGAGTTCATCTTATGGGAAAAAGGGGCCTCGTTCCCCATTTATCGTTCCTTAGCTTATGGGAAAAAAGGGACCTCGCTCCTCATTCATCGTTCCTCAGTTATCGTCCCTCGGGAGTTTAGCTTAGCGGGAAAAAGGGGCCTCGCTCCTCACGCATCGTTCCTTAGCTCAACGCCCCGACTGTACTCGAGACCTCCTCGCGCTGCGAAGAGACCGTCACGACGGGAGGCCTCCCGCCGTGCGCGGCCGCGTCGGGGGGGGGCCTTTGCCCGCCCTCGGGACCGGCAGGCATCGGCCCGCGGAATGCGAAACCGGTCCTGGGGAAGGGGTTACGTCGGGCCTGTCCCCCTGTACAGGGGGATTTTCGACGAAAAAAAAAGAAGGCCCCAGAAATTGTAAAAAAATAGTCCCAGAATAGTCTGGGGACTATTTTTTGAATATTTTTTGACTTTCTTGGGGTATTTTCGGGGTATCTTTTTAATTTTTCGTCGAAAACCCCCCTGCACGGGGGACACGCCCGACATAAGGAAGGGGTCGAGACCTCTGGGGGTCGACTCTGGGCCTCCCATAAACTCAGAGAAGGAAGAGGTGCCCTCACCTCTACCCCTCCCTCGTTTTCCCCTTTTTGGGCCTCCTGGGAAGTCCTCGTCGCCACCGCTGGGCTCGCCTCGAAATCCTGGTCAGAGCGCACCCCAGGAGAGGTCCAGCGAGCAGCGGTATCGGTACCTTTCGGTTTCCCCATACATGGGGTCGGAGCAGACCGGGTCGGGGCCTCCATTCGAGCAGAGGCGGGGGGGGGACCGGGAGGGGGGTCCTGTGCAGGCGGGGTCGGGGGGAGGGCGAGGGCCTCGCCCCGCAGCGCTCCGCTGCTCTGTGCCCTGCCCTGCACTCCCCTCCCTGGCAGGTGGTCGACCTGCACGGTGCTTCGTTTTCGTTTCGGCTTCGTTCTGCAGCACAGACAGGGAGATGGGAGACCAAAGCGAGAGGAAGCGAAGCCAACGAGACCAGAAACCACTGCTTTGGTCGAGCCCTGCCCCCTGGACGGTACTCTTGGGAAGAGCCTGTTCGTGGACGGCTCGCGCCGCGTCTCTGCAGCCGCCCTCCGCGGCCCGCGGCCGGCCACCTTTTCGCTGTTGCCTCGTGTGCTCACTTGGCGATCCCGCAGGCCGGGCTGCCGCTTCGACTTCGCCGAGGGTCCGCCAGCGCTGCGACCAAGAAGGCTCGTGGACGTACCGTCAACGAGCTCAGCTGGTGTGGGTCAGAGGTGGGAAGGGTACCCATACCGCTACCCTTCGCCCGTTTTCCCGGTTTTTGGGCCTCCTGGGAGGCCCTCGTCGCCACCGCTGGATTCGCCTCGACATTCTGGTCAGAACGCGCGCCAAGAGAGGTCCAGGGAGTAGCGGAATCGGTACCTTTCGGTTTCCCCACAACGAGCCTAGCTGGTGTGGGCGTGCTTCCACTTCCGGTGGACAAGCGGCCAGGTCGAGACACAGTGCGGGTGCGGGGGCCCGTCTAGGCGCCGCATGCCCTGAGGCGCCGCAGTCTGCGCCGGTTCACGCCTCTCCTGCTTGATTCGGTGGTCCCCGTGGGACATGTACTCTGCGTTGACTGTGCTGCCCTTCGGTGGAAGCTCAAACCTCGGCAGAGAGAATTTACTTGGGTATTGCGTAGTTTGTTCGACAGCACTGGCACAGCATTCGTGTTTTAAGATGTCAGGGCGCGTCTGGCAAATGCGGCCGCTGCTTTCGTCAAGGGAGCGGTTGGGTCGGCGTTTCCGCCAAGGCCGCGTCGTCTTTGTGTCCCGCGCTTTCTCCATTCGAGCGTGGAGTCAGATGGTCGTGGCTCGTGCTGTGGGTCGTCTTTTTTGGCTAAGCGTACCCCCTCTCCACCAGTGGCTCTTAGATGGCACTTTCTGACGAAGCTGCACGCGTCTTCCTAGAAAAAGGTCGGCCGCAGCAGCCGCAGTTTGCGTGCACAGCCTGCCGAGCTGAAGTAGCTTCGAGTAACCGTCTTGCCACCTCGGCAAACCTGCGACCGAGCGACAGTTGTGTCGCACAGCAATCCAACTCGAAGTTCACAAACGAAGGCTTCAGCCCGGGCAGGCTGGGGTCACAGTTGACCTTGACGTGCTATGTTCTACTCAGGACCAGTTGCAGCCTGCTTCGCTCTGTGAAGTTGTGGCTGGAGGAGGCTGGCAGGTTTCACTGTGCAGGTCGGGTCTCGGTGTGGCTGTCGGCAGGCCCTCACGCCGTGGGGGGCTGCCGTGCCCCTCGGGCCGGAGGAGGGCCAGCTCCGCAGTACGATCCCAATCCTCCCCCTCCTCCCCTATCCCCTCTCCGTCTCTGGCTCCTCATCCCCTCTCCGTCTCTGCCTCCTCCTCCTCCACCTCCTCCTTCTCCTCCTTCTCCTCCTCCTCCTCCTCTTCCTCCTCTCTTCCTCCTCCTCCTTCTCCTCCTCCTCCGCCTCTCTTCCTCCTCCTCCTCCTCCTCCTTCTCCTCTTCCTCTCCTCGTCCTCCTCCTCCTCCTCCTCTCCTCCTCCTTCCTCCTCCTCCCCCTCTCTTCCTCCTCTCTTCCTCCTCTCTTCCTCCTCCTCCTCCTCCTCCTCGATCCTCTCCGTGCCCTGCCCGCCCCTCAGCCTCCCACCGCCCCGCGCGGCGGGAGCGGTGGGGTGGGATGGGGGCCGGGGGGGGGGAGGCGCTCGACGAGGTATCCCCTCTCTTTTTACTCTACTGTCGGCGGCGTGCGGGTCCTCTCTCCGCCGTGCGAGGCGGGACGGGGGGCGGAGCAGCAGCAGGAGGAGGAGGAGGAGGAGGAGTAGGCGAAGGAGGAGGAGGCGGGGGAGGAGGAGGATGATCGAGGAGGAGGAGGAGGAGGAGGAGGAGGAGGAGGAGGAGGAGGAGGAGGAGGGTCGAGGAGGAGGAGGAGGAGGAGCAGGAGGAGGAGGAGCAGGAAGGAGGAGGAGGAAGGAGGAGGAGGGTCGAGGAGGAGGGGTGCGGGGGTCGCTCCACGAGGCATCCACCTGTTCTGCTTCATGGTCAACGGCGTGCGGGTCCTCTCCGCCGACCACCCCGTCATCGGGGAGTTCAACGCGCTCCCGCCCGCCGTCGCCTGCGCACGCTTACTCGAGTCTGGGTTTCCCGGGTATCCTCTTGCCTCCCTCCTCTCTTTCCCAATGCTATCTTCTCCTTCCTCCTCCTGCTCCTGCTCCTGTTCATCTTCCTCCTCCTCCTCTTCCTCCTCCTCCTCTCTTCCTCCTCCTCCTCCTCCTCCTCATCCTCCTCTCTTCCTCCTCCTCTTCCTCTCTTCCTGCTCCTCCTCCTCCTCCTCCTGCTCCTCCTGCTCCTCCTCCTCTCTTCTTCTTCCTCCTCCTCCCTCCTCTGCTCTCTTTCTCTCTCTCGCCCCTCGTGGGCGGGGAGAGCATGCCCGTATCCATGCCCTCGCGGCCCGGGCTCCTGGCCCGCGTCCCCAGGGATAGCCTTAAGTCAGGCGTGCCCCTCTACAGCAGGAATATTCCAAACAGTACGAAAATAGTCTGGGGACGATGATTCTACAATTTTTCTACAGGTTTGACGGCTTTTGGAGTATGTTTCTGTGTTTCATCCCAAGTCCGCCTGTAGGGGGACACGCCCGACTTGAGGGCAGCCGCTGTTTTTTGCTCGAGGCCGCTCCGCGCGGAGCGTACGGATCCACGAGTGAGCACCAGTGTGCACGTTTTTGGTCGGCGTCCCGTGTGTGCACTGCCAGCCGCCCCCAGCGTGCATCACCCCAGTGTGTACCACCCCAGTGTGCACCACCCCGTCCTCAAGTGTCCACCACGCCCCGCGTGCACCACCCTGGCCTGGGCATCCCGCAATCCACGGCCGTTCTGGTCGATGCCGCGCGACGGGTTCAATCCGCGTGACATGATCAAGCCGCGAGGCAGTCAGGCGCGGCCGTGCCTTGCGTCCTTCATTTCCGTGTCCTCTTCCTCCTCATTCCTCTTCTCCTCTTTCCTCCCTTCCCCCCTCCCTCCCGCCACCCTTCCTTTTTCCCTTCCCTCCCCCTTCTCTTCCCTGTTCCCCCTGGTATTGCCTCTCCACCTTCCCTCCCTTCCCCCCCCTTTCTCTCCCGGCCAGGGCCAGCGCGAAAGCAAAACTAACTCTCGCAATCTTGGTGGCCGACCGCTTTTCATTAGAGGAGGGAGGAGGGAGGAGGGAGGAGGGAGGAGGGAGGATGAGGAGGATGTGGAGGGGGAGGAGAAGGAGGAGGAGGAGGAGGAGGAGGAGGAGGAGGAGGAGAAGGCGCCGGCAAAGCCAGTCGTTCGGGCGACAGCGAGTCGCGCTGTGCCGCGGGGGCAGCCGCGTTGAGCTCCCAGCCGCGCGCTTCTCAACAGCCCGCTTTCACTGCGCCGCCCGCGCGTTGGTTTCTGCGTAAGAATAACCTTTCGCCAGAGTGACCTTTGGTGCGGGCACAGGTGTGCCCCCAGATGGCTGAAAACGAAGCAGTAGCAGCTGCTTGCGCGCCCAGCTGCTTGCGCGGCCCCCAGAAAAGTCGCGCACCAAAGGTCACTCTTACCCATGGTCACGTTGCGTGTAGCCGAGATTTTCCACGGCGCGCCGTCTCTACTTCTCAACGCGTAGTCATCTCCCGCCAGTCGCGTGGGAGCGTTCTACCCCTGCTCTGCTCACTGGCGCTGGATGGTACCATCAGGGTTGTAATTCTCGCGAGTCCATGCGGGAAGCGCTGGCGCGCCGCCCCGCGAGCGAGCCGAAGGAACATCCTGCTTGCGCCATCGACGGCAGTCGCGCGCGAATCACGCGCGCGACGGATGCCCAGGTCGTCCTGTACGCGCGCCGAGTAATTCCAAGGCGCGATCTGCGTCGACACATTGGTCGCGCAAGTCAATCACACCCGAAGGTTGTTCTCATGTGTTTTGTTTGCAAGCCCACTATCGAACGCCCATGTAGCCGTGACGATATGTGCGTGTGTGTGTCGGGAACTGGAGCATTTACATTACCAGTGGCGGGCTGTTGTTCCATCCCAGGAAATTTTGAGGGTCGGGGACGACGTCGGGGTAGTGTGGTGTATACTTGTTTCCCCGTTTTCCCGCGGAAGCAACAACACATGTATACACCAGGATGCCGTACACACCATAATCCGTTTTTTGTGCGAATCTCAGTGCGGGACGGGAAGAACGCATCGGTGTACAAAGTTCGGTTCTTTATAATATATATATATATATACATATATGTGTGTGTGTGTGTGTGTGCTCATGGGTCCCGCCCCGGCTCGCGCCCCAGCTGCGCACGTCAGGCCCCAGGCCCCGCGGCGGGAACTTCGTCCTCCCCCCCGCCGTTTTTGGGGGCCGCTGCCTCGATGCCAGCGCCCAGGCCGGCCGTCTCCGGTCCGTGAGTCGGGGTTGGACAGACCTACCCCGACACGTCGATTAATTAGCGAATTGGCCGTTTTCGGTTCGCGAGAGGGCGTCGCGGCCGTCATTTTTTGCGGGCCCAGGTCCGTCGGTTTCGGTCCCAGGCCGCTTTCACTAAAGGGAGGTTTGCTAAAGGGAGGTTTGTCCACCGCCGATTCAATTTCCACCCCAGCAGGTCGATGTTTTTGGTCCGGGCTCCAAGTACACGCCCGCGACCACGACCCGACCCGCTTCCCATTGTTTTGGGGCCACATTTTCGCCGTCCATGCGCCTGCGGCACCTAGACCTCGATCCCAGACCCAGGCTGCATCCAAACCTCTTCAGGGGGGATGTCGTTCAGGTGGGTTAGATCGCTCGCCCAGCCTCCGCCCCGCCGCGCGGGTCCGGCCAGCGCCCTCGCAAGAGGACGGCGTCTCCGGTGCCGAGCAACAGCGCAGCCACGGTCAGCTCACCAGCGCCGCCCGCTGCTCCCGCCCCCAGGCCGCGAGCAGCGCTCCGCCGAGCCAAGGGGGCTCCCACGGGTGACGCCATGGAGGACGACATCTCTCTGACCCCCAGCGGCAGAGACGGCTTCTTCAGCTTCGAGGGCGCCAACCGGTCCCCCATGGACGACGACCTCTTCTCGTCCCAGGCGGCGGGTCACATCAGACGATGGCTGTCACACCCGCACATGGGGCCACCATCCACGCCCCGACTGCGCGCACGGGTCCCCGCCCCCAAGGCGGCCCACGACGGGGCAGATCCCATACCGCCGTCGAAAGCAAACCTGCGACCGACCCAGGGCTGGCTTGACCCAGGAGGAGGAGGAGGAGGAGGAGGAGGAGGAGGAGGAGGAGGAGGAGGAGGAGGAGGAGGAGGGCAAAGGTGTGGTGCCGTGGTGAGTGGTGGCCTCTCCGCTCGGCGCTGCCTCGGTGCTGCCTGGGGGCTCCCTGGAGCTCGGGCATCCCTCGGGTGCGGTCTTGCCCGCCCGCGGCCCCGCGGCCCTCCCACGAAGGATTGCAAAAAAAAGGATTGCAATCCTTCGTTCGAAAAAAGTTTTTTTGCACTCCTTTTTTTTGCAATCCTCCCTTCTTAGTTTTTTGCCTCCTGCTCGCCGCCTGGCCCCGCCCGGCCGGCCGTGCCTCTGGGGCGGCCGCTCTGCGAGGGCTTCCGCCGAAGGGGCCGCGGCGCGCTGCCTCAACCCTGGCGCGCCCTGCTGCGCCCGCCCGCCTCCGGCGCCTTCCCCTTTGGGGCTGCTCCGCGTCGCCCTTGCCCTCTGCTGGCGCCCACGATGCTTCTTTTCCGCAGCTCTGGCGGCCCGCCCTGCATCCTTCGGGAGGAGAAAGAACACACAGACACAACTGATCGTCCACTCCCAGGAAAGTATGGGAAAATATGGGCAGTGGGGGGGAAGACAGAAACCCAGAAAATATGAGAAAATATGGGGGATAGTTTTATTTGTGTGTCTTTACTTGTGTGTCCCAGGGCCCCTTCACAGACGTTTCACGGCTGCGCCCCCTGGCCGTGCATGCAGCGGCGCGTCCGAGGCCTTGGCGGGGCCTCCCGCTCTCCGCCGTCGGTCGCCCTCCTGCTGCGGCCTCGCGGCGCTTCCTTCTCCTGCCCCCCGCTGCCTCCTCTCGCGCATATCCCCCCGGCCGGACGAAAGGGGGGGATAGGGAAAGTCGGGGGGGAAAAAGATACGGATACGTGTTGTCCCCCTTCGTTTTCGGCCTTTACTGGTCCTCCTGGGGAATCCTCGTTGTCACCGCTGGATTCGCCTCGAAATTCTGGTCAGAACGCACCCCAAGAGAGGTCCGGGGACAACACGTATCCGTATCTTTCCGCCCCCCAAGAAAGGGGGGGTTACGAAATTTGCTGCATGTAGCTGGTTTCGGCCCCATCGATGGGCCCATTCCTCGATACATGGCCGCCTGGCGGCGCCGGGAGGCGCCGGGAAGATCAGCTACTTGAGCTGATTCTCACCCCCCCCCTTTGCTATCCACCCCTTCCGCCCAGCCCGAGTCCCGCTGGCGCTCCAGCGGTGTGTGCACGTGTGGCGCCCTGCTTGTGCGGCACAAGGGCCCCGCATGGGTCAAACCCTGTGTGTGTATTGCCGCTGACAACGACGCAGCTCGCAGTCCGTGGATGGCTCGTCCCAGGGGAGCTTCCCTATGGTCCCACCACGTGCCAGCGTTGACCCCTGACGGCCACGTGGTTGGCGCAGTGATCTGTTTACCCCTCTTGCTATGGCGCAGGCGTTCGGGCCCGAGTTGAACAGAACATCCTTCTCCCGTTCAGCAGGTGTACCCTTGGTGGGTCAGAGGCCGCAAATACCTGGAGTGGGAACTACGGTACGACTTTCAGGTTGCCGCCCTCGGCCGCGTGAATCTGGCGCGTCGGGGGGCCGCTACTCCTTTGGTCGGGGTGACGGTCAGACTCGCAAGTTTCCGCCTTTGGCCGCCGAAGTTTAGCACACAAGCTTGCGACGTGCGCGCTGAGTGCTTCAGTTCTCTTTCCCCTTTCTTGCTGCAGCCCTTGCCTGTCGCCTCTAGTGGCTCAGCTCGGCGGTGACCTGACTCGTGCTGTTGTCGCGCATGCGTTGTGCATGGGTCGCGCTCATCTCTCCCCTCCACGGCGCCTGCTTCAAAGGGATGTGGAGCATTGGATCGACCTGGGACCACTCACGGTCAAACTTCAAAGGGATGTGGAGCACTGGATCGACCTGGGACCACTCACGGTCAAACTGCATAGCAAGGATGTGCGATTTTCCAAGGTTGGCCTTGCACCTATCCTCTTCGACCCATCCTTGGCCGCTTTCGCTGGCCGCGCCCCGCACGCAGTGTGAGTGTGTGTATGGGACCCCACGAATGTGGATGCGCGGGTTATGTTTTGTGGGGCTTCACGTGAAAACTGTATTTCGGCACGCATGGCCAGTCGGAAAGGACGCTGCAGGGATTCATGGGACCACGCAGAGCTCCACGATGTCGCGGCGAAAATTGCTGCAGACAGGGCCAGTTGAGGGAATCTTTCGGTATTCATGAGGCCAAGCGCGCCGCAGAGCCGCGGCGCCGACGAGCGCCTCGCAGAGCCGCGGCGCGGTCTTTCTACCGCTGGGCTCCACCGCGCCGCGGCGCCGCGGCAGCGCTGGAGGCGGCGTCGGCTCGCCCGCCGCGGCGGCAGCGCGCTCGCGGGCGCGCGCGCTGTCGCGCGCGCGCGCGGCAGCCGCGGCCAGCGCCGACGACGATGACGACGACGACGACGACGGCGACGACGAGGACGACGACGACGACGACGGCGGCGGACGATGACGACGACGACGGCGGACGACGACGACGACGACGACGGCGACGACGGACGACGACGACGACGACGACGGACGACGACGACGACGACGACGACGACGACGACGACGGCGGCGGCGGCGGCGAAGACGACGACGACGATGACGACGGCAACTACGTCTACGACGACGACGACGACGACGCGCGCGCGGCAGCCGCGGCCAGGCGCTGCTGGTGTCGGAGCCCATGCGGAAGTACGTCTCCAGCAGGGACGGCGACCCGGGCGCGGGCGCGCGCCGCGCGCTCGGCCGCCGCCGCCGTCGTCGTCGTCTTTGCCGCTCGGTCGTGTCCTACAGGAGGAATATTCGAATCTAGTCAAGACATAGTCAGGGGGACGAATTTTTCTTAAATTGTTTGTTTATGCTTTCGCCCAAAAATCCGCCTCTAGGGGGATTTGCCCGACCTAAGATTTGTGATGTTTCAGGGGTCTCACATATCGAGTCTCACACATCGAGAGGGCCAGGCTGCGGTACCGAGTTCCTAGCCCCTCGTCCGCTTCCAGTTGACGCGCAGGGGGCGCTCCATATTGGCCTTGTAGAATGTGGCAGCTTGATGTCCAGGCCTGGCGCTGAGACCCACCGCCCCCCCCAGCGATCCATCCATCCATCCCGTCTCCTGGGCGCGGAGAGCGCCGCGGGCGGCGCTGCGACCGTCGCTGGGGAGGTCTGCAGAAGGGAGTCCAGTGCCGACCTGAGGTCGAAGGCGACGATCGGGGCGAATAGCCCAGGGGCGTGCATTACACGCATTCGACCGGGAGCCTCACCGAAGAGATGGACTATCGGTGCCATTCCCCCAGGGCTATTTGTTCGCACCGATGGTCGCCCCCGAGAAGACCCCCCCGCGGACTTCCGGCAGCTTTCCATGCGCACGTACGGTGATTGGTCTTCTGAAGTTCCGCTGTTCGGTGTATGTCCGAGGGTATTTGTGTTCGTTCATTGGAAAATCACGGCCCCACGAATATGCAAAGTAATCAGTTAGCGGGCGAACGACGGTATAAACGAAACTTGTTCGCCGTCGGCGACGCCTGTCCCGGGGCGGCTGGAAAGTTTCTATCCCTACGGTGGCACGACAGGGCATAACCTTTCCGGCCACCCCGGGACAGGCGCCCCCCGTGACGGAACAGTTTATGTTATTTTTTTCTTCGCCTTGTAAATCACGTGACATCGCTCGGACGTTTTTTTTTTTTTTTTTTTTTTTTTGCGCTGGCCGCGGAGCAGCATCCTGGATCATCCAGCAAAACAAGCACGCACGAAACCGAGCAATGCACGGGGAATGACCGTCCGAGCGATGACAAGATCAGTGGAGCCGCTCTCGCCCCGCATGCGTGCAGCAGGTTTGCGTCGTGTCGACCAGCGGCAACCCCAGCGCGTGCGTTTAGGGTTGAACGCCGCCCGTTGCCCAGAATCGGCCCGTCGTGGAACGATCTGGCGTCAATGGTCCGGCCGATCGTTCAAGTTCGAAGGATCCCCGCGTTGTCAGGTGAGGTCTGCCGCGGTGGGGAGGAGGATCGGGCTCCCCCCCGCGCCCCTCCCGGCACGGGGAGTCCCCGCCCCCGACTTGTCGCGGCGCAATTCACCCTTCTGGGCTCCGGGTCCGGGGTCCGGGTCCTGCTGGGGAGACGAAGGGTGGCCATGTCGGCCGACATTCCCTTCCACCAGAACCAGTACCAGTACCAGTACCCCGGGGTGTCAGGAACCAACGCCGGGGTCGACACGACGCGAGGCGGACGTACCCGCCCCCCGCCCCTCGCCGCAGCCGCCGCGGCCAGGCACCAGCCTCATGGGCCGCCAGTCCTTCGCGGGGGACCTGGCTGGCCCGCTCCAGCCAAAGGCCGCCGTGCCTGGGCCGCCTCCGCGGCTGGCGCCGCCGCCTGCGTTTGCCGTCGCCGTAGTCAATGTCGCGCTCGTCGTCGTCGTCGTCGTTGTCGTCGTCGTCGTCGTTGTCGTCGTCGTCGTCGTGGTCGTCGTCGTCGTGGTCGTCGTTGTCGTCGTCGTGGTTGTAGTTGTCGTGGTCGTGGTCGTTTGTCCTGCCTGTCGTCGTGATCGTTGTCGTTGTCGTCGCTGTTGTCATCGTCGTTATCGTCGAGGTCGCAGTTGTCGTTGTGGTCGTGCTACCACTGTCGGTGTGCTCGTGGTCGTCGGATTGGTCGTCGTGGTCGTGTTCGTCGTGGTCGCCGTCGCTTGGGGGGTTGGGAATCATCTGGAAGGAGACGAAGGCGGACCAGCAGGGGGATAATAAGGGGAGTGAGGAGGAGAATGAGTGGTGTGACGAATCAATTGTGACACATGAGGGTGGGGGGGGGAGTGCGCCCGAGGAGGATGAGGAGAAGGCGGAGGGAGCCATGACGCTCGAGTTCGCCCAACGTCAAACATCATGATGATCATGATGATGATTCTGATGGTGATGATGATGAGGATGATGCTGATGATGATGCTGATGATGTTTATGAAGATGCTGATGCTGATTCTGATGATGAGGCTGATGATGATGATGGTGATGATGATGATGGTGGTGATAATGATGATGATGATATGCTGATGATGATGCTGATGCTCATGCTGATGCTGATGCTGCTGACGATAATTATTATGATGATGATGATGATGATGATGATGATGATGATGATGATGATGAGGAGGAGGAGGAGGAGGAGGAGGAGGAGGAGGAGGAGGAGGATGATGATGATGATGATGAGATGATGATGATGATGTTGATGATGGTGGTGATGGTGGTGATGATGATGATCTGATGCTGCTGCTGATGATGATGATGCTGAGATGCGGATGCTGCTGATGATGATGATGATTATGATGATGATGATGATGATGATGATGATGATGATGATGATGATGATGATGATGATGATGATGATGATGATGATGATGAGAAGGAGGAGGAGGAGGGAGAGGGGGAGGAGGAGGGGGTGGGCGCTCGAGAACACGGTCCGCTCACCCCGGATGACCTCCCGAGAAGTTCACAAAGCGTTGCTTTCGCTGTGTCGGTGGGAGGGCGCCCATGCAGACGAGACGCTGAAGTAAGCAACACTTCGGGATTCAAGGGGCTGGCTGTTCCTGAGGTTCTTCCACGATTGCTCCTCAAACGTTTCGCGTGCACCCGGGCGCTGTTGGGGTCAAAACGGGGGTTCGTCCCTTGTTTAGCGTTCTTTGTGGTAGCACGATGGCTCTATCCCACGCGCGACGCTGCCCTCGGGGGTGGGGATACGTCTCCGAAGCGATGGATATTGAAGGCCTGCCTGCTTGACTTGCTGGACCCGTTGGGGAACCCCGAGCAGAGACAACCGTCGCCCGCCCTTGGCTGCGCCCTGCTGTCTCGGCCGCGGCCTGGTTATCCTGGAGCGCCGCCCGAGGACGACGACGACGACGACGACGACGATGTCAATGTCAGTGTCGATATTGACTACGGTGGCGGCGACGACCACGACGACAAACCACGGCGGCGACGGTGGCCACGACGACGGCGATGGCGACGAGGACTTCGTCGTCGCCCGTCTGGCGACGTCGTCCGTCGTCGCCATTCGTCGTCTGCCTCGCCGCACCTGGGAGCGGCGCGAGGCAGGGGGGGGGTCGCCCGGGCGGGCGGGCTTCCCAGCAGCGGGGAAGGCTTCTGAGGAGGCCATGCCCTCCCATCATTAAGTCGGGCCTGTCCCTCTACAGGAGGAACATTTAGAAATGGTCCAACAATAGCCTGGGGACGATTTTTCGAGCGTTTTTGGTTATTTTTGGTGATTTTTTGAATACTTCTGATTTTTCCTCCCAGATCCGCCTGTGGGGGGACATGCCCGACCCAATCCCAGCAGCCTCCCGCTTTTCTCAGAGGGCCGCCCCGCCCCCCCCCCGTGCCGCCCCCCCTCTTCGCGGCAGAGAGGGGGGTGGTGACCAGGGGGGGGTGGATATCATGGCAGGGGGGCCAGGATATCTCCCCAGATCTCATGGCGCCTCCTCTTGCTTTCTCACGTCGCTGCCCCCCCCCCTCCCCATGGCCGCGCACGTGCCGCCGGCCATGATTTGCACCCCCCCGCTCTTGGACGCCCCCCTCTTGGCCGCTCCCGACCGGGACCCCGCCGCCCGTCCGTCCGCGGGCGCACCTCCCGCGGAGGGCGAGAACCCGCAGAGCGGCATCTCCGTGGGCGACGGCGCGCTCGACAGGCGCCGCGGGGGGGGGGGCTGGGGTGGAGGTCCTCCTCCTCCCTCCTCCTCCCTCCTCCCTCCTCCTCCTCCTCCTTCAATACTCTCCCTCTTCCCCTGATGGCGTCCGGGTGATGGCCGCGCACCCTCCGCGTACTGTTTTTTTACACAGGATTCCCGGGAAATCCCGGGAAACGACTCTCGCTGAGGCGCCGGCGTCATTTTTTCCCAAAATGCTGCTCTCGTTGAGGCGCCGGCCTCATTTCTGCTCCCGAATCGTTCCGAATCGTGCTCCCGCTGCAGCGTGGGCCTCATTTTCGGATCGGTGTTTGGCCTCCGTCGTTCAGGATGGCGTTCTCGCCCCAGCGCGGGCCTTTTTCTCGCGCGCCCATCCGCCCGCCACCACCGCGCCGCACCGCCACCACCACCACCACCACCACCACCACCACCACCACCACCACCACCACCACCACCACCACACACCACCACCACCACCAGCACCACCACCACCCACCACCACCACCACCACCACCACCACCACCACCACCACCACCACCACCCACCACCACCACCACCACCACCACACCACACCACCACCACCACCACCACACCACCACCACCACCACCACCACCACCACCACCACCACCACCACCACCACCACCACCACACAACCACGCACACACGCACGCACGCACGCACGCGCACCACCACCCACTACGCACGCGCGCGCGGAGCCACAGGTCCGCTACGACACGCGTCCGCGGATAGAGAAAATCAGCGCCATGGTAAGGGATGGGAGGGAGGGGTAGGACGTCAGATATGACGCGAGCGCACCTAGCTTGTCCCTCTCCCTCTCCCTCTCCTCCTCCTCCTCCCTCCTCCTCCTCCTCCCTCCTCCTTCCGCCTTCTCCCTCCGGGTGGGTGAGAATAGAGGAAAGGGAACTATGCACATACACCGATTCCGACCAGGCCAATCCTGAGCCCAGGATCGGTGCATACGCCCTCCCGCATTGGCCAGGAAGACACATGCACCGATTCTGGGCCCAGGATGGGTCTGGCCAAGACTGGTGCATGTGCGTGGTTCTCTTCGCCCGTGAGAAGCCCAACGGTCCAGCGCATTGAAAAAATCAAGACAGAGGTTGTTCGCAAAGTTCGGCCACTGGGGGCCCTCGCCGGGCCTCGGGACCTTCAGAAAACGACTCAGGATGAAAAGCTGGTCCTGGGGATGGGTTCTCTGATCGGATCGGATCGGCATCGGATCTTTGATAAGTTGGTAGCGCCCAAAGATGATGGTGACAACCCCCGGCGGTGAGTCTCGGGCGATGTGGTGTTTGGGGGCTCGTGTGTTTTTTCGAGGATGTCGCGACCGTTGGTAGGTACAGGAGTCAAAACCCGGCGGTGACTCCGTGTTCCAAAACCCAGCGGTGAGTTTTTCAGGGTTCCAGGTCACCACATGATATCTCACCACTTGGTTTGGGGGCTCCCAAAGGTGGGCAGCGGGGAAGGTGGTAGGAGGGATAACTGGGCCCGATTCGCTCGCCCAGAGCCACGAATAGAGTGCTGTCATGCTGTGCTGTGTGATCTGATACAGTCGGCCCGGATTAGTAGGTCGACCCTGCCAGCTCAAGGATACCCTTGTGTCCTGTGCCTCGCGACACGTGCCTTCTTACACTCCTATGGCGATGTGGCCCTCGGAAGGGTCTTGTGTCCTCTCGCGTGCCCTGTCCAATCAGGGCCGACTTTACGTATGTTGCGTTGTGTTGTAGAGTAGGGTCTGGTGTGCTGGTGTGTTATGTGCATTGCGTTTGCATTTGCAGTGTTCCGATGCCGGTGTCGGTGTAGGGCCTGTCGTGTTGTTTGCACGTGCGCTGAGACTGGTCGAATTCCACAAGGAATATGCTTGGACGAATTCTTGGGATGCGCAGCGGCATTTCAAATGCGAAGCACACCGTACAAGAAACCCAAAACGGTTCGGCACTTCACGCGCGCGATGCAGCTTTGTAAGGTTCATATACATGGAAGGTGTAGCTTCATATCATGGTGTACTGGCCAGGCAGCAGCGCTGCTGTTCCACCAGGAAGAGCAGCTGGGGTCGCGCTTACAGGGGATGGCTGACAGCCTCTGTGGATTTGAATCTGGGCTACCTGGAACAGTGGCAGTTGTTGGGGTCAAGAGGGAAATTCATAGAAGAGGGTGCTTGGGTGGGTAAGAGAGGGGGTCGGAGGATGTTGAGGAGGGAGGGATGGATACTGTTATAATTTTGATATTCTGATGATTGTGGTTGCATTTGCGGTGGTGGTGGTGGTGGTGGCGAACCAGATGGCGTTGGTAATGCGACGTGGATCTGCTGGTCTGTATGGTGGTGTTGATGATGCCGTTGGTGATTGCTCCAAATACCCAATCTTGTTCTGCGCAGTTGGGAAAAGAGAAGTTTGTGGGACTTGTGCGACCTGGGGGACCTCTGTGGGATGCGGGGCCTGTGAGACCTGCGACACCTACGGTACCAGTGAAACCTGTGGGACCTGTGGCGCCTGTGGGGGCCTATGGGACCCGTGAGACCTGCGAGACTTGTGGGCCGCGTGGCACCGGCGGGCCTTGCGGGTCCTGGGGGACTTTCCCGTGGGATCCGACAGGAGCCGGTGATAACGAGCTCGGTGCAGCTGGTACGGGAGATGTCGGTACTGCTCCGACGGACAGACCGGCTGCCCGTGATGCGGGTTCTGGACGATGGGATCATGGCAGACAGGGGGAAGCAACAGCGGGCGAGAGTACTCCTCCGGCGACGGCCCTCCAAGCAAGCACCAGAATGATGGCCGTTAAAAGGCGCAAGGGCCGCGGTAGTGGCCGAGGACAAATGGGCGCTTCCTCTTGCGGGAACCGTTTGGGCAATGCTTCGAGCTCCTGGTGGACGGGCCAGGGAGGCGGTGAGAATGCCAGCTGACCAGCAGATGGTCTAGGAAGGAGCGGTGGCAGAAGCGTAATGACCGCAACGGTGCATCGCGGATTTCGAGAAGCTCCCAGTGGCCGGACAGCTCCTGGAAGTCGGGACCGAGTCGAGTCTGGGGGAACAGCTCACTGTGAGGAGTAATTGGATCGGGCGTGGCCGCGCACGGGCAGGAACATGTGCACCCGCCGCCACTAGCGCGCGCATCTCAACATATTTATTTTGCAAACGTGATATGCCATGCATTAACAACCTTCTGTCTGTAAGATGCTCGTTAAGGGATCCTCTGCGCTAGGGGAGGAAAGTAAGGATCATGCTCGATCATCGTCAGGCAACGCCGATTGTCTGACCAAAGACTGCGTCTCAGAGGCGGGTTTTTTTGGCAGGAGGGCCCCCGGGGCGGAACTGCTACGATCGACGTCGGCCGACAGCAGTCGTTGTTCATTTTGGGAGGGCATCCATAGGGGAACGAATAACCTCATAAACATAACAACTCGGATGTCCGCGCGTATTTCTCGGATCCGCGCTGGACCCCCCTGGCGGCGCCTCCGGCGCCGCTCCTGGCGCGCTCCGCGCGCCAGGGAGGGGGGTCCTGCGCCGATCCGAGAGATCCGCGCGGACCTCCGAGTTTTTATGTTCATGTCGCTCTTCGTTCCCCTGGAGTTAGGTTGGGCCTGTCTCTCTACAGGAGGAGTCTTCAAACATAGTCACAACATTGTCTGGGGACGATTTGTTGATTATTTGTTTGACAATTTTGTGAGCATGTTTGGCGTATCTCTAATTTTTCATCCAGAATCCGCCTGTAGGGGACACGCCCGACCTAATCCTAGACCTGTCCAGAGGCCCCGCCGTGGCACAGGCCCCATGCCCATGCGATCGCTCCGCTTCGGCACCAGCCTCGGCTGGCTCGGCCCGAGTCGACTCCGACGTGCTGGCGAGCCGCTGCGGGCCGAGGCTCGTGCGGCACTGCCTTTGCGTCCTGGCGCGGCCGCTCCGATCCTGCCTCCACTCCGCGCCGAGGCGGCCCCGTCCGATGCACGCCCCGAGCCGGGGCGAGGCCGATGCTGGCCCCTCTGGGTGGCAGGGGCGGCAGCGGCGGGGGCTCCGTTTCCCGGGGCCGTTGAGTGTTACTGAGGATGCCCCTGGCCCCAGGTGCCCCCAGCTGCTCGCTCCACTCTGGAGCTCCCAGGGTGCGGGACGGGAAAATGACCACAGCCACTGCTTCTTGTTTGCGCCGCCTTCAGCCGGCCGAAAAAGAAGCAGTGGTTGTGGTCATTTCCCTGGTGCCAAGCTCAACGAAAATGACCACAACCACTGCTTTGTTTCTGCGTGCTGGAAGGCGGCAACAAAAGAAAAGAAGTGGCTGTGGGCGTTTTCACCCCCCGTACGGGGGTACTCGGGGCCTCCTGGTGGGGGCGCTCCGGAGGCCGCGGGGGCCTCCCTGGAAACCCTGGGGGCACATTGGTCCAGGGGCACTTCTAGCCTGAAGTCGGGCGTGCCCCTTCTACAGGGGAAGCATTCAGGAATGTCAGAAAGTAGTCTTGAGACGATCTTCCGACTATTTTGGAACATTTTTGAATATTTGTTGATTATGCCCGGCCTAGACCTAGCCACACCCGAAAGCGGGGGGGATTGTGGGGCAGCGCTGCCGATGCGATCCTGGCGGGCAGGTGTCGCCGCGGCCCGTCTTGGTGGCGCCCGCCAGGCAGCAGTTCGCGCTCCGCTCCCCTCCGCCCCGGCGTTGGGTAAAAAGTCTGGCATGTCCTTCCACAGGAGGAGTATTCAAAAATAGTGAAGAATAGTATGGGGACGATTTCTTTTTGAGCATTTGTTGATATTTGTTTGATTCTTCGTCCAAAATCCGCCTGCAGGAGGACATGCCCGACCTAACCCTTGGGCCTCCCGCCCGCTCGCGCCCGCGCGCGGAGCCGCTAGGCCGAAGGGACAGCCGATGACGAGGCGCGGCCGGCGCTGTCGCCGTCGCCGTCGTCGCCTCCGCCGCCGCCCGTCGTCGTCGTCGTCGTCGCCGCCGCCGCCCGTTGTCGTCGCGGCCGTCTTCGCGGCCGCCGTCGTCGTGGCCCCTGTCCTCGTGGCCGCCGTCGCCGTCGCAGCCCTGCCTTCGTGATCGTCTTCCTGTCGTCGTCACCGTCGTCATATTCCTGCCCGTGCTGACGTTCCTCACGGTGATGTATGCTGCTGCTCCCCTTCCTCGCCCAGTTGTACTCCTTTCCAGTTGCATCCTGCCGCTGCTGCTCCTTCTGTGTGGATCTCTCTTCCCAGCCCTTGTTTGATGGTGTCCCTCATCCCCGTCCCACCTCTTCCTGGGCTCGAAGCCATTTTTCCGATCGCCTCCTCCTTCTAGGGGTGGACAGACCTCCTACCCTGACACGTCGATTAGCGAATCGGCCGTTTTCGGTTCGCGAGAGGGCGTCGCGGCCGCCATTTTTTCGGGCCCAGGTCCGTCGGTTTCGGCCCCAAGGCCGTTTTCATTAAAGGGAGGTCTGGTAAAGGGAGGCTTGTCCACCGCCGATCCTCGCTTCTCATCCTCCTCTCCTACCTCCTGCTCCTCGCCCACCCTTCTCGGGGATGCCAGCAGCGCACCACACACGGCCACCCGGAGGCAGACGGCCGTCGAGGGACGAGCGATCGCTTCGCTGGCTCGGTCAGCGCCTATGGCGGCGGGGCGGTACGTCCCTCGTGCGCAACGCACCCCCACTCCTCCTCCTCCTCCTCCTCCTCTTCCTCCTCCTCCTCCTCCTCCTCCTCCTCATCCATTTCCTCCTCCTCCTTCCTCTCCTTCTCCTCCTTCCTGCTCCCTCCTCCTCCTCCTCCTTTCCCTTCTCCTCCTCCTCCTCCTCCTCTCCTCCTCCTCCTCGCCCTCGCCCTCGCCCTCCTCCCCCTCCTCGCCCTCCTCCTCGCCCTCCTCCTCCTCCTCCTCCTCCTCCTCCTCCTCCTTCCCCCCCTCCTCCTCCTCCTCCTCGCCCTCGCCCCCCTCGCCCTCCTTGGCCCCCCCCCTCTCTCAGGCCGCCCCGCTGCCTCGACGGCCCTGCTACGCAGAGTGCGCAGCAGCTCGTGCTCGGGCTGGGCGTGGGCGGAGCGGGGCTGTGGTGCTGCACGGATTTACCGTCGGGTGGGGCCCCTCGCCGAAGGCGGCGGTGTCACCAGCGCGCGGGTGCGATCGAATCCACCATTCCGGCCGCCCCACGTGTCCCATGCGCGGGTGGCCCACGTGTCCTTTTCTTTCGGGGGCCCCCTGGGGCCGTGGCCGGAGGCGGGGGAGAGGGCGGGGAGAAGCGGGCGAGGCGCTGCGGGCTGACGGCCCCGCCTCGTGAGGGCAGCTGCCTGGGGGGTGCAGTGACGGCCAGGCGTCGCGAGGCAGCGCGGGGGGCGAGGTCCGCCGACTCCGCCATCAGGCCTCCACGACGCTCCTCCTCCACCGAGGCGTGACGCATGCCGTGCCAGCGCCATCGTGGGCGATGGTAAACAGCAGAAGTGCCATATCTGCTCGATGCGTGCGTGCTTTCTTCGGGACAAGGCGCCGAGCTAGGGGGGACGGGGGGAGAGCACCAGCTAAAGACATCTCCTGCGAGCCGGCCTCTCCTTGGAGGCCGAGCTCAGATCGAGGCTGAGGGCCAGCGCACCGAATCTGCTCGACACGGGCTCACTGCCGAAAACATAGCCTTGCATCAAGCCTCTCTCGACAAGGCAAAACTCCACCCTGGGCATTCTGCAAGCTTCGTCACCCCCCCTCCCAGCGTGATCGCCGAACCCACCCCCTCCTAGAATCGGCCACAGCATGCCAGGTGCCTGTGCACTCTGTGGCAGAGGACGGCCAGCCCGAGGAGGTGGTGGGCGCGTCAGGGGGCCAACTTCCAGAGTCTGGCCGGGTGCCCATCCCGTTAGGAGAGCTCCCGCCTGGAAACGGGATGGCCGATGATGGCCGATGTGCTGCTGTAGCACTCGTCTGCAACACGCGATCTCGTCTCCCTCACCGTTTCTGCTTCCTCCTATCCGCCCCCAGCCGCGCCCGGCTATCACATCTACCCCCTATAAAAATCTGCTCATGCTGATCTTCCGCTTCCTCATCTGTCCCATCCCGTCCAGGGCCCGTAATCTCATGAGTCGGGCCGAACGAAAGGGGGGGATAGGGAAAGGGGGGGTTACGAAATCTGCTGCATGCAGCTGGTTTCGGCCCCTCCGCCGGGCCCATTCCTCGATGCCTGGGCGCCTGCCGGAGCCGGGAGGCGCTGGGAATATCGGCTGCGTGAGCTGATTCTCTGCCCTACCCTTTGCCATCCCCCCCCCGTTCCTGCCCCCAGAGTGGAGCCCCCAGAGCTCACCGGAACCGTTCGGAGCACCGCCTCCTGTCCCTTGGCATCGCTCGGACGTGTGCATTTTTCCTTCGGCGAGGACAATCGAGGAGCATCCTTGATCATTTGGCGAACAACCGCGCACGAAACCGAAAAACACCCAGGGAAGGGACGTCCGAGCGATGGCGAGGTCCCCGTGCCAGGACTCGGCCCCTGGACCAGTCCAGTGTGGCGCTCGGCTCGGGGAGAGTCGCAGCCAGCCGTGGTGTCGCTGCCCTCTCCCCCCTATGGAGGCCCAGTCACGGGACGAACAGTTGCCTCAACTCCCACAGCTCGAACCTCGCACCTCGAACCTCCTCCTCCTCCTCCTCGCCCTCCTCGCCCTCCGCCTCCGCCTCTTCTTCCTCCCCCTCTCTTCTTCAGGGCGTGGAGCATCTGCTGCAACCTCGGCAGCCTGGGCGACGACGACGACGCCGATCCGATGGAGCCGCCGCAGATGCGCCGTCCTTCCTGCCGCTCCTGCTCTAGCGCTGCTTCCGTGCCTCGCCGTCGGTGTCGCGATCGGCGTGGTGGTCGTTGTGGTCGACGCAGCCGTCGCCGTCGGACGGGGGGAGAGGAGAGGGGAGGAGGATGCTGGGTGGTGAGGCGAGCGGGGAGGAGGAGAAGGACGAGGAGGAGGAGGACGAGGAGGAGGAGGATGAGGAGGAGGAGAACGAGGAGGAGGACTGGGCATCGCGCGACTGTGTGCATTCCTTGTCTCGGCGCGGACCACCGAGGGGCATCCTTGAGATCCTCGAGCCAGGACAATCACGCACGAAATCGAACAAGTGCACGGAGAATGGACATCCGAGCGATGGCAGGAGGAGGAGGAGGGGGAGGAGGAGGAGGAGTAGGAGGAGGAGGAGGAGGGGGACGAGGAGGACCAGTGTAAACCCAAGAGTCGTCAACGATGTTGGAATCAACCCTCCCTCCAAGCTCCCTGTGTCATAGGCCCCTACAACGGTTCACTCCCACTGAGGGAACTGACTCGATGGAAGACAACAGCTTGAAGACCCTGAAGCATGCCAAAACATTGTTCTCGAGATTCCAACGCCACGGGTCAACCTGTCTGTTGCGTCTTGACGATCTTGAATCGTGCCAGAACGCCATTCCTAGGATTTGAACACCAAGAATCAACGTAGCTGCTGCACCCTCAACATCCAGAATCCTTCCAAAACGCAGTTTCTGGTACGCTGATCACGGGAATCCGCATATTGAAAAGGAACCGCCCTCAATCCGTGAAACTCTTTGCAAATCTTTGAAGCGAACGTGCACGGCGCTAAGGTGAGAGCCACATTTTGAAAGCCAGTCGCCCTCAATCCGTGAAGCTCTTGCAAATCTTTGAAACGAATGTGCGCGGCGCTACGGCGAGAGCGACATTTCGGAAATGGCCCGCCTTCCATCTTTAAACTGTTGTAACCTTCATGCTCACACATGGTGAGGAAATCTTAGGCGAAACGCCCGGACCTCCCTAACAATTGGCCTCGGGGTGCCATAGGGAGAAGTTATTGGAAAAGGAATAGTTGAGCAGGGACCGACCGTCCTGGCATTCCTATAGTCCTACCACGAAACTTTCTTAGAACCAAAATGTCCAAGGACAAAACCAATGTTCTTAGAACGTTAACCCGATGCGATAAACCAAGACAGGTTCCGCCAGAAATGTTCTAAGAACATTTCGTGGAAACCACGAAAGGTTCTTGGAACATTGTATGGTAGGGCTATACGCACGCCAGGACGCTGGAGGAGAAGTTGGAGGAGTTAAGAGGAAGAGGACTAAAGAGGCAGTCGAGGAGGAGGAGGAGGAGGAGGAGGGGGAGACCGGAAGATGAAGGGGTAGGACGGTGGAAGGGAGCAGTATGAGAAGGATGGAAGAGGGGGCTGGGGAGGACCAGGAGGTAGTGTTGGTCGCGGAGCGAGAGGAGTGTGGGGCGAGGAGGAAGGGAGGGACGGGATTGAGGCGGGAACAAGGAATGGACGATGGGGAATGGGATGGGGGTTGAGAGAGGGAGACGGGGGATGCATGATGGAGAAGGGTGGGGAGTGAGGAAAGGTTGGGCGAGGAGGCGTGCCACATGGAGGGATCGTAATAGGAGGCGGAGGGAGGAGGGCGAGTGATGGAAGAGGGAGGGATGGAGGGAGAGAGGAATAGAAAGGGTTTTGAGGGAGAGGCTGTTGAGGATGGGAGACATCAGATGGGGAGGCAGGATGTGGCGCTGGGGCGGAGGAGAGTAGGAGAGGAGGAGGAGGAGGGGAGGAGGAGCAGGAGGAGGAGGAGGAGAATGAGGATAATCAGGATAATGCTGCTGTTGCTGATGACGATGATGCTGATGCTGCTGCTGCTGCTGCTGCTGCTGATGGACATGCTGATGATGCTGCTGATGCTGATGATGAGGATGATGGTGGTGGCGATTCTTTTGATGATGCTGATGCTACTGCTGCTGATGATTATGATGCTGGTTGTGATGCTGCTGGTGATGATGATGATGATGATGATGATGATGATGATTATGATGATTATGATGATGATGATGATGATGATGAGAATATACGGATTCTGATGATGGTTTTGATGATGATGATGTTGATGGTGATGCTGCTGCTGATGACGATGTTGATTATGGTGGTGATGGTGGTGATGATGATGCTGATGCTGCTGATGATGTGTATGATGATGCCGACGATGATGATGCTGGTGATGGTGGTAATGATGCTTATGATGATGGTCATGGTTATGATGCTGATGATGATGGTGATGATGCTGCTGATGATGACAAGGATGCTGTTACTTGTGATGGCGATGATGGCGATGCTGATTGCTCCTGGTGATGATCATGCCGATGCTGATGCTGGTGATGATGACGATGATGCTGCTGATGATGATGAGGATGATGATGATGATGGTGCTGCTGACGATCATGCTCATGCTGATGATGATGCTGCTGATGCTGATTATTAGTTATGCTGATGCTGATGCTCATGATGATGCTGCTGCTGATGATGATGATGATGATGCTGCTGATGCTGGTTATGCTGGTTATGCTGATCATGCTGATCATGCTGATGCTTATGCTGCTGGTGATGATGCCGATGCCGATGATGACGATGATGATGATGCTGCGGTGCTGATGATGATGATGAGGATGCTGACGATGATGCTGATGATGACGATGCTGATGATACTGATGATGATGCTGATGATGATCCGACCAACATGGTGTTGCTGGTTATGATGATGCTGGTGTTGATGCTGGTGCTGCTGCTGATGATGCTTATGCTGATGCTGATCGTGCTGCTGCTGATGATGATGCTGGTGATGCTGATGCTGATGGTAATGATGCTTGTGATGGTGATGATGCTGATGCTTATGGTGATGCTGCTGATGATGATGCTGTTGCGGATGATGATGCTGATGATGATGATGGTGATGATGATGAAGATGATGATGATGATGATGATGATGATGATGATGATGATGATGATGATGATGATGATACTGTTGATGATGATGATGCCGATGATGATGATGATGATGATGATGATCGTGCTGCTGATGATGATGATGATGATGATGATGATGATGCTGATGATGATGATGATGATGATGATGATGCTGATGCTGATGCTGATGCTGATGATGATGATGATGATGATGATGATGATGATGATGATGATGATGATGATGATGGCGATTCTGGTGCGTCTGCTTCTGCTGCTGCTGCTCATGCTGATGCTGATGCTGATGATGGTTATTGCGCTGACGAGGAGGAGACGGCCGAGGAGGAGGAGGAGGGGGAGGGGGAGAATGAGGAGGAGGAGGAATAGGGGGAGGAGGATGATTATAGAGGATGGAGGAGCGATGGGAGGAGGAAGCGTGCTACGATCAAGAGCATAGGCGGACGCGGGTCGATGGGGCACATGTTATGTGGAGAGAGTGGGGCGGGCTGTTGCTATCCAGGAGCAGAAGGAATGTCATGCTTAGGATGAGCAGGTGGCGGAGGCGTTCGAATCGGTGATGCGCAAGGGGGAATAGGAGGCCAGGGTTGAGGACGGGCGGGTGATGACACGGCAACGCAGATGGGCAGGCAGATCGGGGGGTTGGGCCAGGCGCCCTTCGAAGCTTAGACTTCGAGGTAGTCGGACGTGTTTGTTGGTTGTCGGCGGTTGCCCCGCCTCGGGAACGTGGCTGCGCCTCGTCGAGGGCGTTCCGGGGTGTCAGCGAAGAAGGCACGCTAGTGGGTAATCTTGGCCACTGCTAGTTTGCAGTTCCCTGACGGCTCCTGGCACCCCTGCGTGTTCGCGAACGAAAAAAAGAAGAAGGTACGACTGAAGACCAGGAGGGATCAGAGAACATGCGGGATAATGGGAGACATGGGCCAGCGGAAGTACGAGGAGGAGCATGATGGGGAAGCGATCTGTATACATTGCGGCTGTATGTATCGTCTTCTTGGTCACGACCATGGCCAGGCCTTCGTATTGTGTTTGCGACTGCGCGTGGTTGTGCTCACTAGTGTTGCGCTTGGTGAGGATGTATATGGACGTGGGACTGTGGGCAGTGCAGGATAAGTATGATGACGATTGGTCGGTCAGAGCTGGCGTGGTAGAAGCGGGTGACATTGGCAATAAAGAGGAGCGGGGACATGACAGATGTGGTGAAGTAGGTCGAGAGGGGGGCAGGAAGGGTGAACGCAGCACGTTCGAGCTACCACTTGGAGGAGTGGTAAGGGGGGCGGGCACGAGAGCATGCGCGCAGGAACGGACGGCGAAGCTGAGGGTAGCGAGGGGGTGCGAGGAATGACGCGACGTCTGGACAGCCCTGAGTATTTATTGCAGCAATGGTGGCTTCTCCTTACCCTCGTCGACTCGTCTCTTTTCTTTACTCGAGTCTTATCACGGAGATGTCTTGCTAGAAAGTCTACCGTCCCCGCAACTGTTGGCATGCGGTTTGTTGGCTTCGTGCTCTTGCTGTGAATGCTGACCGCAGTTGGGCAGCGTGGTACAATCGAGCTCGCAGACGGCAGCGGCGGAGGTGACGACGACCAATGGGGGAGGGTTTGGGGGAGGGTTGGGGGGAGGGAGGGAGGGAAGGGGGAGGGAGGAGGGAGGAGGGAGGTGACAGGAGGGAGGAGGGAGGGGGGAGGTGGGAGGTGGGAGGTGGAGGAGGAGGATGGGAGGAGGAGGGTGGGAGGTGGGAGGAGGGAGGAGGAGGTAGGAGGGGGGAGGGAGGAGAGGAGGAGGGAGGAGGGAGGAAGAGGAGGAGGAGGAGGAAGAGTGAGGAGGAGGAGGAGGAGGAGGAGGAGGAGGGAGGAGGAGGGAGGGGAGGAGGAGGAGGAGAGAGGGAGGAGGGAGGAGGAGGGGAGGAGGAGGAGGAGGAGGAGGAGAAGGGAGGAGGGAGGAGGGAGGAGGAGGAGGACGAGGAGGGAGGAGGAGGCAGGAGGAGGAGGGAGGGAGGGACGATCGGGACGTGGCGGGGTGCAGGGCCTCGCGCGGCGAGGAGCCAGCCCACAACAACGCGCCGAACTTCGGCAAGGAGGCGGCGGCGCCGTGTCGCCGTCGACTCCCCCCCGCTGTCCTCGTCCTCGTCGTGGTCGCGCCGCTGCCGCTGCTGTGCTCCTCCCTCGTCCCTCCCCGATGTTCGCGGGGCTTCTCTGCTCTCCTCGTTGTTTCCTTGCTGTCTGCTCTGTCCGGCTCGCTTCTCTCTGGCTGGCGTGAGAATTGGCGTGCATCTGAGCATCGCACACGCGCATGCCGACGTTCAGCAGCAGCAGCAGCCCCGATTCTCAGGCTTCCTCCCTGCACTCAGCCCGCACAAGAAGGATGAGCGACTTTCCAACAGGTTGCCCTTGCATCCCTCCCTTTTCGGCCCCTCTTGGGCCGCTGTCGCTGGCGGCCGCGCCCCGCTCGCGGAGTGCCGACAGGGCCTTCCAAGGCCCTTGCATCCTTTCCGTGCGGTCTCATTAAACGGTCTGGTTGTAATCTTTTACCCATCATGAACTTCATGCGGGGCTGCGCATCGACGGCGGTCGAGCACGGCGGCCAAACAGGGTACCCTGACGATGCGCCCGGCTCCAGTCACCAATCAATCTGCCCTTTTCATGCAGATTTGCTTCGATGCAGAGTCTCCGGATAGTTCATCCCCGAGAAGAGTGTCTGCACACGCAGATGGACTGCTCCTGGCTCATCGAAATTCTATTGATGTTGGGACAGGTCCCTCAGGTTTTGTCCGACGGGTTAAGCGCGGCCAAAAAGAATGCTCAACAATAATTACCGAACCTCGCCAGGACGTCGACAATAGAGTTCACCGTTGTGCTGTTGGGAACGAAGTTGCCGAGGGGTGCCGAGGGAAGTTTCCCCGAAAGCGCTGCTGCATTCGGTCGCGAACCCACCGGGCGGATCCGGAGAACTCGAAGGGAGCCTACGGTCAATGCCGATCCGCCAGCCTAGGCTTCAGAAAACCACGCTTACATTTGACGCCCGGACGAGTGGGATCCTATGTGTGTCGTCTTTCCTGGGTCCCGGATTCAGTTGTCTCCTCTCCGCTTCGTTGGTGTCCGGCAGATGTTGTTAAGGTGGTGTGTGGCGAGGTGGGAGTGGTGAGTGCGATTGTGCTGGAAGCGGATCTGGGCGGGGAGGGTTATGAGTGGAAGAACGATCGGTGACGACCAAGGGGAGGAAGGTAAGGGTGGAATGTGAAGGGAGGTGACGGGGATCTGTCTCCGAGGTTTTCGAGGGCATCTTCGATGCCGAGCTGCGCCTGCGCATGGACGGCTACGTCCTCCCAGAGGTGGTCTGGCACCCCCGTCGTGCGCATTGCGTGCAAGTTCTGTCTGCTACTGGTTACGGCTCCGTGCTACGCTGTCGGCCTGTGGATAATTGTTTTGGGGTCCTGCTACTTGTTCTATCTGCTACTTGTTCTATCTGTTTGGCGTGCAAGTTCTGGCTGCTACTTGTTACGGCTCCGTGCTACGCTGTCGGCCTGTGGGTGATTGTTTTGGGCCCTCGGGGCAGTGGGCGAACAACCAGTCCCTGGGCATGGGGTCGAGAGGTCTGGGCGCCCAGGTCAAGAGGTAAGACGTCGATGCCAGGAGGAGGGAGAGGACGAAGAGGAGGAGATGGTGAGGACGAGTTGGAGGAGCAGGAGGATACTGATGAGAGGGAGGTGGAGGAGGAGGGGACGCGGGCATCGGTGCTTCGTCGCGAGTCCGTCCGCATCATCGAGTCACCGAGGAGGAGGAGGAGGAGGAGGAGGAGGAGGACGAGGAGGAGGAGGAGGAGCAGGAGGCGAGGGAGGAGGAGGAGGAGGAGGAGGAGGAGGAGGAGGAGGAGGAGGAGGAGGAGGAGGAGGAGGAAAAGGAGCACGAGGAGGAGAAGGAGGAGGGGAAGAGGTACGACCAGAAGGGGGAGGCCGAGGAGGTGTAAGCTGAGAGCGATGCGGGGGACGCTGATAACGAGGGCGGGGATGAGAGGGACAGGATCGAGCAGGTTGGGGGCGAGGAGGAGGAGGAGGCCGAGGAGATGGAGGAGGGCGAGGTGGGGGCGGATGCGCGGCGGCACGAGGAGGAGGAGGAGGAGGAGGGCGCGGGGGACGTGGAGGAGGAGGAGGAGGAGAGGAGGAGGAGGAGGAGGAGGAGGATGGAGGAGGAGGAGGAGGAGGAGGAGGAGCAGGAGGAGGGAGGAGGGAGGGGGGGCGGACGAGGCAGGAGAGTGCGCGGCAGGAGGGCCAGGAGGAGGAGGAGCAGGAGGCCGACGGGCGAGGCCGTGGAGGAGGGCCGCGCCGGGCGCCGCCGCTGCAGCCCCTCGGCCGGAGTCTCCCCCCCCCCCGGCGAGTCCACGCCGCGGGCGCGCGCGCGCAGCCCGCGGCCTGCCGCTGGCCCATGGAGGCGCGGGCGGGCCGCCCGCCGCCCGCCGCACGTCGCGCGGCCGCCGCCGCCTTGGCATCGCTCGGGCGTGTGCGTTTTTTGCTTTTGTTTTTGATTTTCTGTCCTGTCCTCGGCGAGGGCCAGCGAGGATCGGCGGCGAGCGAGGGGGGGAAATGAGAAGTAGAAGGCCTTCTCAGAAGGCTCGGAAGGCCCCGGCCTTCTGAGAAGGTTTCTAAGCCTTCCCCGGAAACCCCAAAACCACTTCTCAGCAGGCGCGAGGCCTTCTGAGAAGTCCCGCCGCCTTCTGAGAAGGTCTTTTCCTTCTCACTCCCCCCCTCGCTCACCGCGGAGAGGAGCATCTCGGATCGTCGGGCAAACAAATGCACGCACGAGACCGAGCAAACGCACGGGGAAGGAGCGTCCAAGCGCGTCCAGGCGAGGAGGGGGAGCAGGGGCAGGCGCGCATCTGCGCGGGGCTTGCCTGGCGCCGCCGCCGCCGACGACGGCGGCAGGGTCGTCGGCGTCGTTGTCGTCGTCGTCGTCGTTGTCGTCGTGGTCGCGTCGTCGTCATCATCGCTAGAGGTTCAAGGTTGGGGAAGGGCTTCGTCAGGAGAAAGGGCGGCATAAACATACACTTCTTGCAGCTCATCGCGGGTATCGGTTCGGCGCTGGGCCCCCCTGGCGGCGCCTCCTGCGCCGCCTCTGGCGCTCTCGGCGCGCCAAAGAGGTGTTGCCCGGCCCCAATCCAAGAAATCCGTGTGGATCTTCGACCTTTACGTAACTCTTTGCCAGGTCCTCAGTGATTTGCGTCGGTCCAGGTTCGAGGATGAGAGTCGCGGAGCCGTTTGTGACCGCGGGAGACCTCATGGCCGCAGCCGAGTCCGCCTCGGAGTTCTGGTCGGGACGCACCCCTGCAGAGATCTGGGGAGCAGCGGTGCCTGTACCTTCTTGTTTCTGAGTCGTGGTCGTCGTGGTCGTCGTCGTATTCATGGTCCTTGTCGTGGTCGTGATTTTTTGTCGTCGTCGTCGTCGTCGTCGTCGTCGTCGTCGTCGTCGTCGTCGTGGTCGTGGTCGTCGTCGTCGTCGTCGTGGTCGTCCTGTTGTCTTGTTGGTGGTCGTCGTTGTTGTCCTTGTGGTCGTCCTCGTGATCGTTGTCGTGGTCTTCGTGGCCTTGGTGGTGCTGGTCGTCGTCTTTTTTGGAGGGGAGGGCGGCCGGGGGGCGGGTATCGGGAGGTGGAGAGGTGGAGGGGAAGAGGAATGAGGGTGAGAGGAGGCGGCGTAGGGAGATATAAACAGCAGGGCTGAGTCCTGAGGACGGAGGGGGAGAGACGAAGGAGGAGGTTGAGTCCTGAGAATGACAAGCTAGGTGCTCTCGTGCCACATCTGACCTCCAATCCCTCCCACACACCTCTTCCCATGCCGTTGAATTGTGTTCTGTCTGAAGGCTGGGTACCTCAGAGGACCTTGATCTTCACATGGCATTGGCAGGATTTGACCCAGCGTTTGCCACGCACTCGGGAAGTGGTGGCTTTGTACGCTGCAGTGGGAGGAGGACGGGAAGCAGCACGCGAATCAGCGGGAGGCGGCGGAAAGTTGATCAGGAGCAGGAGGAGGAGGAGGAGGAGGAGGAGGAGGAGGAGGTGGAGCAGGAGGAGGAGGAGGAGGAGGAGGAGAGGATGAGCAGGAGGAGCAGGAGGAGGCAGAGGAGGAGAGGAGGAGGAGCAGGAGGAGGAGGGGGGAGGAGGAGGAGGAGCAGGAGGAGGAGGAAGAGGAGGAGGAGGAGGTTGGAGGAGCAGCAGGAGGAGGAGGAGGAGGAGCAGGGAGAAGGAGCGTGAGCGGGAGCAGGGGCGGAAGCACGATCAGCTGCAGGGTGTTGGGGAGGGCGGAGGAGGGGGCAGCGGAGGAGGACGGCGACGACGGGCAGCGGCCCGGGCCCCACACCTCAAGGGCGCCCTCGAGGGCGCGAAGTTATTCGCGCTTCGCGCTTCGCGGTTCGGCTCCGATTCCTCCTCATCCTCCTCTGCTCCCCTGAGGGGCGGCGCGAGAGCGCGGAGTTATTCGCGCTTCGCGCTTCGCGCACTGCGAAGCGCGAAGTGGGGAGCCCTTGCACCTGCGGCGAGAGCGTCTTGGTGAGCGCAGGAACGAAGCATCGATTCTGAGGTGTGGCGAGCGCTGCCTCGGGATCCTCATTGGTGCAGGGGCCGAGGGCGGTCTGAGCGACACCGCACCTGCATCATTGGGTGGCACATCCCCAGTGCGAAAACAGTGCGCGACAGGGGCAGGAGCACTGCTGGTCATTGTCCGGCGGGAGAGGAACGCAGTTCTGATATCGGGCGATTTGGGGACAGCAGACGGGGCTGCGCGCTCTGTCAAGGGACAGGGGAGGGAGTGGGGGATGTAGGCGGGATGGTGTGGGACGGGGCGCGCTCTTTCTTCTCTCTCCTTCCGACCTCCACCCACTACCTCTTCCCCTTCCCTCCCCCCCTACCTCCTCACTCGTTGCTTCCTCATCTCCAATCACCCGAAGAAGCACAGCGTCTAGACCTGATGCAGTGCCAAGTCCTTCGGTTGGATAAGCCAATGCACCTTCACACATTGCCCTACTGAGGGTTGTCGCCTCGCTGGATTGTCGGCCGCATGCGAAGGACAAGGTCTTTGCGATGAACGGCTGCAAGCGCACATGACGATTCAAAAGGTGCCGTAGCGCAGCTTCGGGCATGCGATCTGGAAGAAACGCGTCTCGAACAACTTGGGCGAGCTCAGCTACACACCTGCATACGTTTCGGCCCGTGTGTATGTGTGTGTGTGCGCGTTTGAGAAAGAGCTTCCCTCTCGTCTTGTGTGTGTGTGCGAGAAGAATGATGGGGGGGAAGGATGATCATGATGAGCAAAAGCCGATCAGGAGTAGAAACAGAAATGCCAGCAGGATTGGGAGGAGGAGGACATGGAGGAACGACAGCACGGGAAGAACTAGGAGGCGGAGTTGGACGTGGTTTAAGTGGCTCAAGACCACAGACCACAGACCCAAGCGTTCATTGCTTGCTGCGCCTGGTCCGCAGCAGGCGTCAGCCTGCCTCCTGGTTCGCCCCAGGTGGATGGAGTTTTATTTCCTCAGTGCACTTGGTCCGCCCCAGGCTGCACTCTGCCTCCTGGTCCGCCCAAAAGGGTGTATGTTCTTCCGATGCCAGGAATCATGGTCGGCATGTATTAAAAGGACAGCTTCGTGGGCAGCGAGGCCCAGAGCAAGCTCGGCGTCCTGGACCTGAAGTACTCCATCGAGCATGGCACCGTGACCAACGGGGACGACACGGAAAGGAGCTGGCACCATACCTTCTACAATGAGCTCCGCGTGGCTCCATGAGCTCGCGTGGCTCCAGAGGAGCACCCTCTGCTACTCTCGGAGGTGTCCACGGACCCGAAGGAGAATCGCGAACGCGTGACGCAGGTCATGTTTGAGACGCTCAACGTGCCGGCGATATACGTCACGATCCAGGCAGTGTTCTCGGTGTACGCATCTGGCCGCACCACTAGGTTGGTCATGGACTCCGTCAGAGGCGTGTCGCACATCGCACCCATCTATGAGGCCTAAGCGCTGCCGCATGCCATCCTGCGGCTGGATCCTGACCGAGCTTGCGTGGCTACTACTTCACCACCACGGCTGCGCGAAGGATCGTGCGCGACGTCAAGGACAAGCCTGCTACATCCCGCTCGACTTCGACACCGAGAGGAATGCGCCATGGAAGGCTCCGACAAGGAGAAGGCGCACGAACTCCCCGACGGGAACATCAAAACCGTGGACAGCAAGCGCATTCGCTGCCCAGGGTTGCTCGTCCATCGTCGGATCGTGTGTAAGGAAGCCGGCGGCACCCACGACACCACATTTCAGTTGATCATGAAGTGTGACGTCTGTCACCGCAAGGACCTGTACGCCAACGTGGTGCTGTCTGGTGGCACCACAAGGATCCCAGGCGCTTGTGAGTGCATGACCAACGGGCTTACGACACTGGTTCCTTCCACAATGAAGATCAAGGTCGTGGTTCCCCCCCGAGCGCAAGTACTCAGTGTGGATCGGAGGATCTATCCTTCCCTAGAATAGGACCTTCCAGGGGGGGGGGTACGACGGGTTGGGTCCCATCACCGTGCGCAGGAGGTGTTTCTGAGAGCTTGCTTCCGGCCGATGTTGGAAGCCAGGCAAGCCAGAATTGTCCGACGTGTTGATTCGAAGCTGCGAGCTTACCTCACGTCCCAGTGTTCACAGCCGGCGCTGGCGGTGTTAATCGCAGTGGCCGCGTTGGCGTTCTGAAGTGCGTCAAGACAGCTGTTTATGTCTCTGGCGCTTGTAGCTATTCCAAGATATGCGCACGTTCAGGCCGCATTTTCTGGCTCGCACGACCTCCTTGTCACAGTCTGCCACTGGAGGCCTCCGCCTGGACGGCTCCTGAATGGCATGCCACTAGCAGCTCCTGCAGTCCAGCCTGCATCGTTGAAGACCAGACTACGCACGTCTCGCCCCCGCCGTTCTCCCTGCCTCCCGCTTCTTCCCTCCCCCCTCTCTCTCCCCTCGCTTCCCTCCCTGCTTGCGTGCCCTGCCTGCCCCGACCGCGGCGCGCCTGCGGCGTCGCAGGGGGGAGTTGGTTTTGCCTCCCCTCCCACCCCGTCTAAGAACGCCACAGTTCCCCACTGGCCGACATGATCTGAAGAACAGACGACAAGGTTTACTGGGCGCCCTGCGCCCTCGCAGTATCCCCTGCTCCGAAGCAGCAGCGAAGGCACGAGATGCTGGCATGCACGTGCTGCAGCATACACCGCTGAGAAGAGAGCAGGGAACAAGCACCGGTCTGTGGCTCGTGCTGACAAATAACACCCTCCCCCTCCCCCTCCCCCTCCCCTCCCCTACTCCCCTCGCCTCCTCGTGGCTGCTAGGCGAGGCGTTCGGCCTCCGGGGGCGGCCGCCGCGCCAGAGCTCTGTTGCCGTCCCGTCTGCGCAGATCGTGCGCTCGGGCCCGCAGGCCGCGCCGGCTTCTGGGCCGCCGGCCACGCTCTCCCACCTTTCGTGTTCATCGGATTCGTTGGGCTTCGTGCTCACCTGCAGCCTCACCCCGTCACTCAGTGGCCTAGGCTTGCACGGGACACCCCCACCTGGAACACCCAAGTTGGTCCTGGCGCCCTGCTTCCCCCCTTCTCCGCTCCTCCCTTCTGCTTCCTTTCTCTTCCCTTCGCAAAGTCCTGGCATCGCTCGGACGTGTGCATTTTTTTCTCGGCGAGAACCATCGAGGACCATCCTGGACCATCAAGCAACAAAAAACACGAACGAAACCGAAACATGCACGGGAAATGGACGTCCGAACGACGGCAAGAAGTAGTTCGCTGCGCCCCACCGTGTGGCCGAGGTGCGCGGCCGTGGCGCGCCTCGGCTTCCGCCCGCCCTGCCCGCCGGGCTGGGACGGCTTGTGCATGCTGTCTCGTTTCCCTCTTCGTGCATGCCCGGCTGTGCTTGCGCAGCTCGTGTCTAGTGCCAAGCGCGCCGTTCGGCCGCATTCGGCATCCCGCTTCGTTCTTGCCATGTGTCCCTCCTTGACGCTCTCCTTCTCGTTTTCCTTTTTTCGTCTCGCATACGGCAGGCTCGCTCATCATCCTTCGGGCCACGGTTCAGAACGTGTGTTTGCTCATCGGAGGTCGGCTCGTATGGTTTTCCTGGCTCGCCTGGCGACCTTTGGATTCGCGCGGCGGTCGAGACCTCTTTCTCATACAATAAGAGTCGGACTTGGAGGATCAATGGTAGGAGATTAACCAGGAGGAGGAGGAGAAGGAGGAGGAGGAGGAGGTGCAGGAGGAGGAGGACGAGGAGGAGGAGGAGGAGGAGGTGTAGGAGGAGGAGGATGATGATGATGATGAGGAGGAGGGAGAGGGGGACGAGGGATGAGATAAGGAGGAGGAGGAGGACGAGGAGGAGGAGGAGGAGGAGGACGAGGAGGAGATGGAGGAGGAGGATAAGGAGTAGGAGGAGGAGGACGAGGAGGAGGAGGACGAGGAGAAGGAGGATGAGGAGGAGGAGCAGGTGGAAGAGGATGAACAGGAGGAGGAGGAGGAGGAGGAGGAGGAGGAGGAGGAGGAGGAGGAGGAGGAGGAGGATGAGGAGGAGGAGGAGGAGGAGGAGGGAGGAGGGAGGGGGGAGAGGGGTGAGGAGGAGGGAGGGACGAGGGAAAGCAAAACATGGGAACTGCAACACGACCGGACACGGGAATGGAGGAAGTACCTAGCAGGGGATCATGGCAAGGACAGGGAGAGCAGGGGGGGGGCGGAGAGAGCGGAGGAGGAGCGGAGCTGGCGCCAAACGGATGGAGGAGGTGTCGGAGGCAGACATCGGGGGGAGCGGATGTGGCAGCGCCCGGCGTCCAGAGCACGCGTGGGCCTCCTGCAGGCCGCGTGGGGCCCGCCGGGGGCCAGCCGAGGGCCGCCGAGCGCCGCGGCGGGGCCCCCGAGGGTTGCGAGAAGGGCCCGTCGAGGGCTCCCGCCCTCGGAGGGCCGCACCGCTGCCGCGCGCGCGGCGGGGCTGGGTCCGCGCACGAGGTGCTGCACGCGCCGACGTCGGCGGGCGGCGGGGAGGTGCCTGGTGACGGAATCAATCTATGGATCGATGTATCTATATATACATATATATGTATACATACACGTGTATGTATCCACCTACCTATCTATCTACCTATCTATCTATCGATCTGTACGTACGATACCGGAGATAAGCACCAGTCATAATCTTTTTTGGGGCTATAGGGCTATGGGGCTATAGGGCTATAGGGCTATAGAGCTCTTGAGCTGTTGGGCTATAGGGTGATTGGGCTATAAGGCTATAGGGCTATAAGGCTATAGGGCTATTGGGCTATAGGGCTATTGAGCTGTATGGCTATAGGGCTACAGGGCTAGAGGGCTAGAGGCCGAGGGCCAGAGGGCTGGAGGGCTTTAAGGCTATAGGGCTATAGCGCTGTAGGGTTGTTGCGCTATTTGGCTATAGGGCCATAAGGCTATAGGGCTGTAGGGCTGTAGGCCTATAGGGCTATAGGGCTGTAAGACTATAGATAGGGCTATATGGCCATGGGGCACCCGGGCGGGTCGCCAACATCGGCGACGCAGAACCTAACCATATGAATCCGTTAGGACCCCTACAGAGGCAAGCTCTTATTGGGGGTTACATGCATCTACTTGTATGTGTTTCTGCCCATGTATCTATACGTATATGTTTGTATCGACATATATACACATTTAGATATGTATGTTTTGCCCCCACATATATATATATATATATCTATAGTTGATCGGTAACTGTATATATGCATATCTTTATATTTGCGTGTCGTCGGGGTTTGAACGCACATGTTTGCAGCCATGCATGGACATGCACATTTTTCATGTCTACCTCTTCGTTTCAGTCTATATCTATATTTATATACGTCAAGATATACCTACGCCCCTTATCCATACATACGTAATATATATACATACCACTGTGTCAATGTTGTTTCTATGTATCTGTCGATCTATCGATCAGTATCTATATACATGTGTATTCATTTAGATCTAGTGATCTACCTAGATAGCTAACTAATCAGCCAGTTACCAAGCTATCTAGCTATCCAGCTATATATGTGTATATGTCTTTATACATAGCTAGTGGCATGTGCGCACGTACATTTATATACATGTGTAGTCATTTATACACGCATGTATGTATACATACGCATATATATATATAGATTTACCTACGTCATCCCTCTCTCTCTCTTAATACATATATATATATATATGGATCATATATAACTGTAGATCAATGCCATACGATATATCTACAGATATGCACTGCTCCCTGGCCAGGCCCATCCTGAACCCAGGCGCTGTGTATATGCCCTCCTGGCCTGGTCAAGCTGGCGTGGCGCACTCACACCGCTGCCAGGTTCGGGATGGGCCCTGCCAGGGAGCAGTTGCCTTGTGAGGTGCCAACCTCGCTCTGCGGCGGCCGCTTCGAGGTCCTGCGGGAGGCGCCCCGTCGTCGTCGTCGTCGTCGTCGTCGTCGTCGTCGTCGTCGTCGTCGTCGTCGTCGTCGTCGTCTGCTGTGCCCCGTCGGTTGTCCGCAGCGGTGGTCGATCGCTCGATCGCTCGCGAGGCCCCAAGGAGGCACCGAGGAGGCCCCGAGGAGTCACCTGGGATGGGAGGCCCCGAGGAGGCCCCCGGGGGGCCCGAGCAGGCCACAGGAGACCTCGGGAGGCCGCAGTGTGCCGCAGAAGGACGAGGAGAGGAGGAGGAGGAGGAAGAGGAGCAGGGGGAGGAGGAGGGGGAGGAGGCGGATGAGGAGGAGGAGGACCTATGGAACACACATTCGGCGAAACAACGCCTGCTCCCAGGGGTGCGCTCCCAATCGAAGGTGGTATAGCGAGGTGCGCATCCAGGAATTGTGGGTCTTAAGCCCCAGGTGGGCCCGTCTCGCTGTAGAGAGTGGCCAGTTGTCGTTTCATGGCGATTGTCTTGATGATCCTGTCATCCGTCACTAGGTAATCCCTGGTACCGTTCATTTGGCTGGCGCAGTCATACAGCTTCCTGTCGGGGGTGTGGGGCGAGAGCTACAGTTCACACCGCTCCTCGTCAGTCTGGGGATTACTGTAAATGTTACGGTTCGGAACGTTTTGTAAAGCACAGCGTGCTGGGGAGGACGGACGGGAAAGAGAGGAGCCATAGGCCGAAGGTCGTCTCCGCGCGGAGGCGACCGAAGGTCGTCTCCCCTTGGCCCTTCGCACCCTCCAAACGGAAGGTGGGGCGATGCCGCCGGAGAGGCAGGGTTGGTTCGGGGCGTCGCTCCTCCCCAGTGCGCTGTGCTGTGGCCGCGCTCGAGGAAGCTCCAGCGCACGGGCCCTCCAGGGCGGCGCCTGGGAGCCGAATGCACGCAGCGCGCTGCAAGCCCACGGCGCGCCAGCGATGGAGCGTTGGGCCGTGGCGCCGCCGAGGGGCGGGGGGTCTGAAGGCAGTTCCGAGCCGAGCAGAAAGACGGCGGCCGACCACACTCGCTTGGCGCCCTCGCGCCAGGGATCACCAGGCCGCGACGCCGCCCCAACGGCAGGAGCCGCCGTAAACGGGGGTGGGGTTCAAAGGCAGCCCCGAACCCATGCAAGCTGGAGGGGGCCGAACCGCACCACTGCGAGCACCGAGAGCCCGCAGGCGACCGCCCGAGCCTCCGCCAGCGGACGAAGGGCGCCCCTGAAGAGCGCCGAAGGATGAAGCCCGGCCCTCGGGGCTCACCGGGAGCCGACGCAAGCATGCGCGACAAGAACCGACGCCTGCACGGCGAGCGGCGCCAAGAACGAACTGGCCAGGCTTGCGGATCCTTCGCCCCTCCGTCGAGGTTTTTTGTTGGGCAGCACCTCGGGCCAGAGGAGGAGGGAGGAGGAAGAGGAGGAGGGGGGATGAGGAGGAGCAGGAGGAGGAGCAGGACGAGGAGGAGGAGCAGGAGGACGAAGAGGAGTTTGAGGACGAGGAGGAGGAGGAGGAGGAGGAGGAGGAGGAGGAGGAGGACGAGGAGAAGCAGGAACAGTAGGAGGAGGACGACGAAGAGGAGGAGGAGGGAGCAGGATGAGGAGGAGGAGGATGAGGAGGAGGACGAGGAGGAGGCGGAGGAAGGAGACGAAGGAAAACATGACAATACGAATAATCAGAATGATGCTAATACTGTATGCGGATAAGAAGAAGAACGTCAATAATACTAAACCAAACCATTTAACTACTAAAAATACTAGCAATGATACTAATGCGAATACTAGTAATAGCAATAATGAGAAGACGAACTATACTAATACTATTGTTTATACCAGGAAGAAGACAAATACAACTAATACTAATAGAAATAATAAGAAGAGGAGGAGGAGGACGAAGAGGAGGAGGGAGGAGGAAGAGGAGGAAGAAGGAGGAGGAGGAGGATCAGCAGGAGGAGGAGGACGAGGAGGAGGAGCAGGAGGACGAAGAGGAGTTGGAGGAGGAGGAGGAGGACGAGGAGGAGGAGGACGAGGAGGAGGAGGAGGACGAGGAGGAGGAGGAGGAGGAGCAGGAGGAGGAGGACGACGAAGAGGAGGAGGAGGAGGGAGCAGGATGATGATGAGGAGGAGGAGGAGGAAGAGTAGGAGTATGAGTCAAGCTAGCCAGCTCGAGCGAGTCAAGCATGGCATGCCCAGTCCCACCCGCCCTCCCACAACATAAGAAGCAAAGCTGGCACAACTGGGGGCCGAAGTCACACCGGCCAGCCGGTTTGTTACAGCTGATGCGGCCGCGATGGCGGTTGCCGACGGGAACTGGCGAGCGCGTGTTGAATGCCGCGCACGCAATGCCAGACGAGTCGAGAATGGCCCGGTACACCGCAGGAAGCCAGAGGTGGCCGGAGGAAGCCCGACGGTCTGACAGGACACCCCAAAGCATTTTTGTGAAAAAGCATTGGGTTTTTGATGTTTTTTTATGTTGGAATGCTTGCAAACACACGGTGTTCGGTAGGATTCTGACATGAACGCGCGCGTGTGCTCTTTGTGGTATTTTTTTGCTTTTTTTTTTTTTTTTGTTTACTTCTTTTTTTTTTTATCTTTTTTTTATTTTTTTTCTTTTTTTTTTCTTTTTTAGTTTCTTTATTTTTTTTTTTTTTTTTTTCTTTCTTTTTTTCATTGTGGTATTTTTTGCACAGGATTCGCGGCCTGGGTGCATGACAGAGCATCGCGAGTGCACCGCGCGATGACGTGAAATCGCTGGATTTGACAGAACTCTTAAGATTCCTATGGTTTTCCTATGATTTCAGCAAGAGAGCCCGGGCGGGAAATTTGCACAATTTTTGTGAGAAAAAAAAAGCATTGGGTTTTTGATGTTCTTATGTTGAAATGCTTGCAAACACACGGTGTTCGGTAGGATTCTGACATGAACGCGCGCGTGTGCTCTTTGTGGTATTTTTTGCAATGGATTATCGCCGTGGACGACAGGACGTCCATGTCGAGAGGAAAAAAAATAAGAAAAGTGATGATTTTGTATTGTTTTTTACAAGTTAGGATGGGACCACTGGATGCGGCCCTAATTGGGGGCCTGGAAGGTGGAGTAGGCCTAAGTCAGGCATGTCCATAACGGATCTGAGTAAGAGGTAGGGTTGTGTAGTAGTAGTTGTGTAGTAGTAGTAGTAGTAGTAGTAGTAGTAGTAGTAGTAGTAGTAGTAGTAGTAGTAGTCGTTTGTTGTAGAAGTAGTAGTGTAGTAGTAGTAAGTGAGTAGTAGTAGTAGTAGTAGGTAGTAGTTAGTAGTAGTAGTAGTCGTAGTAGTAGTGAGTAGTAGGGTAGTAGTAGTAGTAGTAGTAGTGTTAGTGTAGTAGTAGTAGAGTTAGTTAGGAGTAGGAGTAGGAGTAGGAGTAGTAGTAGTAGTGTAGTAGTAGTAGTAGTAGTACGTAGTTAGGAGGAGGGGAGGCTGAGGTAGGAGGATAGGAGGGTAGGCGTAGTAGGAGTAGTAGAGTAGTAGGAGTAGTCGTAGTAGTAGTAGTAGTAGTAGTAGTAGTAGTAGTCGTAGTATCGTAGTAGGTAGTAGTAATAGTAGTAGTAGTAGTAGTAGTAGTAGTTAGTAGTAGTAGTTAGTAGTAGGAGGAGGAGGTAAGGAGGAGGAGAGGAGGAGGAGGAGGAGGAGGAGGAGGAGGAGGAGGAAGATGGGGAGGACCCCTCCTCCTCCAATTTCTGGTGGGGTTGGTGGAAAGCAGGCCCAGCAGTCAAGCCTGCCCTGCGCGCCGGCGCCCCCAGGGGGCCGTGCGCTCGGCGCGTTTGGCGCGAACATCGCCTTCTTCGTGAAGGAGTACAACGCTCGCACCGCCGACAGGATGGGCGAAGTCATTCCCTGCATCGTTCAGATGTGGAGCCTGCGGCGGGTCTGTGCCGCCGTTCGTGTTGCGAGGTCGGACTGCATGTGAATTCATGCAGGCATCTTGGGCACCTCTCGTCGGGTTGTGTCGCCCAGGTGTTCTGTCTGGGCACAAGAACAACATTCCCTGCATCGTTCATTCCATGAGCGACCCGAACTTCACGATAGAGCTGAAGACCTCACTTGCGGTGGCGCTGCTCATCAAGGCGGCCACCGCTGAGAAAGGCTCAGCCGAGCCCAACGGGGACTTCGTCGGCACCCTCACCACCGACAGCTGCGAGAGATCGCCAAGATCAAGCTCCCATACCTGCAGATCCCGGACGTCACCCGCGCCATGAACATCTGCCACGGTACCGCCAAGGCGACTGGCATCCAGGTGGAGGGGTACGAGGAGTGGAATGAGAGTGTGTTCAAGAAGCCGACGAGCGCGCTCGAGCGGTATGGCGTGCGCGCCGAGCTGCTGCCCAAGGAGGGCCAGTACATCGCCGGCGACGACCTCTGACTGCCTGGCTTGGGCTCGTGGGCCCCCTGCTCGGGGCCGCTCGCGGCGCTTGGCCCGGCTGGCCATGTTTCTACCTCTGTGATGGAGGCGGGGCAGAGAGCTATGGATGACGATGGGGATGAGGCTGAGCAGGAGGCGGCCTGGCGACGCTGGCTTTGCGGCCTGGCCATGTCGGCCTGCGGCGTAGGAGCGCGCGGCGTGCGGCAACGCGCAGATCATAGCGCAATACTCAAAGCATCCTTCCGTGCTGAATCAATCCTCGAACGCATCCTTGTCGAGAGATCACGTCAGTATTCAGCCCATCCACTGCGTACTGAATATGGTAGAACTCCGAGACAGGAGTGTGCGTGCCCTCAGCCGCAAACGCCTCGGGGCTGACAACAGCGTTGGCCGTGCCTTTTGCCATGGCCTCAATCGCCGCCGCCTCGTCCTGAGAAGTGGGGGCCGCCTCCGCCAATTTCTGAGATCTGCGGCGCTGGAACTTGCCCAGCAAAGGTGTTGGCATCAAACTTTGACCCCGAGTCGGCCTTAACCTCGATCACACCTGTCTCAATGTTCAAATCCACGATCGCGGCGGTGTCAATCTGGGGCTACCCATCGGCCTTCGTAATATCGGTTTTTGA